AATTTCAAACTTTTACGAAGTTTTCATAGTTTAAAACAAGAGCAAACTTTAACACATTTACGGCGACGGTATTTTGGACGTAGAGCCAAGTAACCGTTAACTGTTTTACTGATAATTTGGTGAGATAAAGTAAACTCTTATAGTCATTCGATAGCCCTAAATCTCCACTTGAAAACTAGTATAAAGTTACCAAGAACTTTCTAGAAAATAATTAAAAGTTTTTAAAAAATTGAGTTGATATTAAAAATCATCAAAAATCGTCATTATCGTCGTCTTGAATGTGTTAAGGTCGGTTTTCAATTGATTGATTAATTCGATTGATTGATTGATTGATTGATGGTCGGTGGATTGATTTGAATGGATAGTTAGAGGAAAGGTTACCCGAAAGGTCACTTTTTCAGGCTTGGTCTCTGGGTCTGCCAGAAGCCGCCTGGTCTAGGCCTTGCCTGGTCTGGCTTAAAGACCCTAGACACGATTGGAACAGCCCTAGATGCTTACTATAATATCAATCATATGCATATACAATATCAGCAGTACTCTAATCAATTCAAAACACGTTCAAAACTCAAAACAAAACAAAACTCACGTTTCTTGTCGAGAGAAAATCTTCGAGTCAGCGTCATGTTGAATGGCCATTGTAAAAGTGATAATAGCAAATCGAGAGTTGACACAAAATTCTCATGAAAACTCAAGCCTTATAAGGGACACATTTATTTTTCCTTTCCACATAGTTATAGTCATAGATCTTCATTATTCAAGGCTATTTTTATTACATTCAGTATGCGAAAAAGAGGCTTTTGTAATCTTATTACTAATTCTTTTGCCTCAACCAATTTATTTATGCATTCTTTGGGGAACTTTGAGCCATGTGACTCATTATTTAGAAGGGAAAGGAAAGGAAAGATATAAACTGATAAGACCAATTTTTTTCCCTTGCTTTGCGAGAGATCTGATGAGACAATTCTTCTTGATATTGATAGGAACGAAAAGAACTTTTTGACCTAATGAACAAACTTGGATTTCAACTTTACTGTTGGATTTGACATTGATTCGGCTTGACTGACATTGATTCGGCTCGACAAAACCTTGACATTGATTCGGCTTGACTTGCAAAATCGTCAAGCCAAGTCAAGCCTTATAAAGAACACATTTATTTTTCCTTTCCACATATTAGGTTGTCCAATAAGTAATGCGTGTTTTGACACGATTTTTAAAATATCACAAAATTAACAAAAGAGAACTTTATTAATCGATATATTCTCCACAACAATCAACAACATTTCTCCATCGTCCGAGCAAAGAGTGAAGTCCGTCATAATAGAATGAAGCTGGTTTCGATGAGAAGAAATCGTCGAGCCATTTTTGCACCTCGTCAACACTTTTGACTCGTTTCCGTCCGCAAATCGTTTAAACCAGCGCTGGCACTGGCTGATTGAAATTGAATCCTCTCCAAATGCGGCACAGATAGTTCGATGGCAATTCGCTGCAGTTTTACCTCGTTTGAAATCATACAGCATTGATGCGCGGACAACAAACTTTTTGTCTTTCATCTGCAAAACAACATATCTATTATAAAACAAAGGCAAATGAATAAAATAATATATAAAAATAAACACAAGATGCAATTCGAAGCGATTTCGCAATAGTTTCGAAATAAGTAACACGCATTACTTATTGGACAACCTAATAGTTATACAAAAATGTCCTTGCCTAGGATTTTTGGCACTAAAAGGCAGATTTTTGGCAGTACTACAAGGTGAACAGTTTCAGTTACATTTTCTGGCCCTTCTTTTGGCATCTACAGTACTGGACAATGAAATATGATATTTGAAAAACGATCGTCACTTTCGCGCGTCTGTAACTCCCTTGTCTTTGAGTTTAAACTATTAGTGTTATACATTTTCTGAAAGCTCTTTTCAAGGACTACACAATGGTAATATTAATATTTAGAAATACGGTAAAGACAAGGGAGTTACAGACGCGCGAAAGTGCGAAAGAGTTTTTTCAAATATGATATTTCATTGTCCAGTAGTGTAGCTACCGTATCCCCCTTTGGGATACGGTAGCTAGCTTTGGAAAGAGAGCAAGCAGAAAAACCTGCTAACTATAGCCCTGACTCATAAAAGTACATACTAGGCATAAAAAATCAAAATTCCTGTCAGCTTAACCTTCTTTTAGAGTATTTACGGTAGGGAACGGAGAAATTTTATAAAAGATCAGACAAGGATAAAGTTTGAGTCGGTAGTTGGAGCAAGCTTTAGAATATCTAATTGAGTCGATGTTCAAAAAAGACCTAAGTTTCTGATCCATTACCTGGGCCCAGGTAATGGGTCAGAAACTTGGCTGGGCCAGCTGGGCCAGCCCTGCATACAACTTACGACTTCTGTCCTGAATTAGAGGCTCAGCTCCGGTTGGGTCACACTTTTAACTGGTAAACTGTAAATACCAACTGAGACAGTGAGATAGATATTTATATCGGCTTTAACAAATCTCCCAACGCTCACCAAAACTGTTATGGCATTTTTGGTCTGCTGAACATTTCACAAAGGGCCACTCCTCAAAATAGCTCGGATTTCTCGCGCGGTGATGACTTTAAGAAACGATCAAGTTTGATTGAAATCTCTTCTTATCACAAACTCTCTGTCTTTATCCGATTTAAGTGAGGTCCCTTCCGGATTCATCCATTTTTGGAGATTTTAAGTGTACCAGAGAGAGATTATCCCCAAAACGACATAGGGCATGAAATCAGCTAAAGTGGAAGGGTGAAAATAAGTATGGAAAAATTTTAGAGTTCATGTAGATCAACAAATTCCAACACTGAATCTTTAGAACTTCTTTACAAATAGTTCAATTGCAGTTAACTTACTGTAATTCTCGACTTTAGACGTACTTTAGCTAGGTCGCGAAAGGAAGGTTCAAAGCGGATTCTTCTATTGGGCAATCAGTATCTTGTAATCATTGTCAGAAAACTCAAAAGTAACAGTAACTTCAAAGTATTCAGCTAATACAATATCAAGATTGAGATCTTCCACCATTTATACAGTCGATCGTTTCATTCCCTAATAATTTTTTCAAACACTTGATCAGTCAAAAATTCTTTACTGACACATTCGCAACGATACGGCTCACCAGTGAACCGTACGTGGATTTAACACTTTTTTGAGGCCGATTGGGCTGAAAATTTGCAACAGGGGTTTTCGGGGTCAAGGAATTCGAATCCGTACTTTGTTTTTAAAGAAAGTTGCTCTATTTTTGGATATTTCATCCGGTTTAATTACTCAAGTGCGACCCCCACATCCAGTGCCAGAAGGCGCGCGATTACGGGAATTTTTCATTTTTACGTAATCGTGCGGCTTCTGGCATACGTATAGGGGTATAGGACAGAATCCAAACTTGGTTTCGCTCTTTTTTCTCCACTTTGATTTAATTACCCAAGGTTTTAGAGTTTTGTGATAACCGTATTGAGTTGGAAATTAAAGTTGCTCAAAAATAATAACGGATTCAGATTCTCTATCCCAGAATGCCCTCGGTTACAAATTTTCAGAGCTACAGCTAACATAGATAGCTGTCGTCTGTAAGAAATATATGTTGATGTTTTGATCTATATAATTTCTTGTGAGACCGTGTCTCAAAACAAAACCCTTCCTTTCTATTCAATGATACAGAAATAAGTGTAGTGTAGAAGTAGAAAGATGGGAAATAAGGGTAGAGGGATATCGTCCAGTTGTCCTCGATAATGCACAGTTGCTGGAGATTGTCGAGTTGGATCCAACTGAAACTTTGCCCGAATTAGCCGAATACTTTAAATGTGATTCGAGCACAATTTCTCGACACCTTTCGCTCATTGGAAAAAGGAATCGTTGTGGGCAATGGGTCCCACATGAATTGGTCCTCTGAAAACAAGGTCAATCGAGTTTTATTTTCTCGGATTCTACTGAAAGAGACTACGGGCGGTGCTTTTTTGAAAGCATGTTGATGATAGACGAAAAGTGAACATATTTCAATAATACAACACGCAAAAGGCAATAGTTGAGCAAAGGAGAAAGGCCGATTCCGACATCACATCCAGAACTTGACGGAAAGAAAGTTATGCTGTCGGTCTTTTGGAATATGAAAGTAATCGTTTATTTTGAATTACGAAAATCTTCAAAAACTATAACTTCGCAAAGCGACATCGAACAGCTGAAGAAAGTTGATGAAATTCCACGAGAAAGGGCTTTGATCCAAGGACAATCCATTTACTCGCTCACAATGCCCGGGTACACACATCAAACTTGGCTCAAAACACCATAGAAGAATTAGGCTGGAAACTTGTGCCTCATCCGCCCTATTCGCCCCATGTTGCTCCCTCAGATTACCACTTGTTCCTGTCTATGCAACACTCTCTTGCAAATCTAAAGTTTAACAATCCTGAAGAAGTCGAAATTTGGGTGCAAGACTACTTTGCGTCCCGGGACCCCGAATTTTTCGAATCAGACAACCGAAGTCTACGCAAAAAATGTAAGAACATAGTTGATAATATTGACAAATATCTTTTGGAATAAAGTTGTTTTCTTATTGATTTTTGGGCTGTTGAAGTGTTGGTTATAATCCGCAGTTTCTTTTGCAAGTACCTAATATATAGATACTTTATTCAGGACCTGAAATCAAGTGCGCTAGATTTAAGATTAATACACATCAAACACAAAAAAGCCCGATAAAAAGGAATACGATATAATGTATGTAATGGGTAGCACAGACAAGGTCAAGAATCCACTAGACCTATAGTGGAGTGGAGCCATAAGCTAAAAACCCTCCGTGAAGCGGGTGTTTCGGTCGGTCTGACGAATAAAAAGAGTCGCGTTTTATAAGAACAGAACGTCAACTTTTAAGCAAACGGTTTCAATATTCGAGTTGAAACAATCCTAGGCCAACAATTGCAATTTATCAGAAAGTTTGGCCCGCATTTCGAGTCCAAAAGCCCAAATTTCAATTCCACTTCGATTTCAGCCGTCTGGTCGATGGCCTCTTACTTCTATGTGCTGCTTGCCGTGAATCGTTTCCTCGTCGTGGTCTCCAGTCCGAAAGTCACTCACATGTTTCAGGTTTGAGCAAAAAGGAGATTTCGAGAATGAGAATTATTCTAATTCCAGAAAATTCCAATCAGCTTGTGGCTCTTGCTGGGTCTTCTGTATGGATTAGCGGCAGGGATTGGCTCAAAGCCTTTACCTTTCAATTCTCGAGCTTTTGGCGGTATCTATGTGCCAGCGATTGAGGACCTGAAAAAAGTGAGCTCAGAAGACTGAAATAGTTATCGTTTTTTCTAACAAAGTTATCTGATCAGCCTAAAAAGCCGTCAGAAAAAGAAATGTTGAAGTTGAAAGAAGTTTAAGAATAAAAAGTCTTTTTGACTATTCTCTTTGTCTATCACGGCGCATTTCGCCTGGCAGACTGTCAGTGGTGGGTTGGGGAGTTTGCTTGCATTTGCTTACAAGGAAAACAATTGTTTAATTGATTGTTTAACAGGTTGTTTAACCAGGTCATGGTAAAGCTGAAGGTTTGAGTACTAGGCAGGTCTGGGTAAGTTCTGTTCCCGTCCAACCGTCCAACCTAGTCCAGTCCAATGAATTCGTCTGAAAAATTGATGAAGCCTAGCCAAGCCTAGTCCATTCCAATTCAGTGGCTGAAAATAAACAAATTACTTAACATGTCAAGTTATCCAGACCAAGATAAAGTTCAAGTTTAAGTAACGAGGCATGTAAAGTAGTCAAATCTGATCCTATTCAGTCCAGTCGAATCCTGTTTAAAAGTTGAGCGCTAACTTTTAAAAGGAATTTTCTATTTACAACGAAAAAAGATTAGCAACATCATAGTCAGTTTACCTCAATACATAAACCTCAATACATGGATCAAATTCCGTCAGTCAGTTTACCTCAATACATGGATCAAATTCCGGGCCGACAAAGGAGCCGAAAGAGAGGAGAAATACGAGCGACAGTATCCCGAGAGCTGTCCCAAAAAGTCCATAAAGATATTCCTTTTGAGAAAAAGCTAAAGATACTCTTTATTTTGTTTGTACTATTTTGTTCTAGCTGTTCTTCGTGTTTTACGCAAAAATAAACTATGAAATTTGGGAATTTAGAGTGCTTATTTATATTTATTTAGAGTGTCTCAAACATTTTTTGGAGCTTTGAGCATCTCATTTTTTTGTTTTGAAAAAGATTGACTCAAATCTGGTGAAAACCCTTGCCAATCTCGTTCTCAAAAGAGAAAAACTCCATGGAAACCATATAAATCTTTCATTTTTTTGCCTCAATTTACTCCTCTTTTTCTAAGTTGACTCGAGAATCCGATCTAAGAAATTCATTCTAGAATCCCGTTTCTTTAGTTTTTCAATCTTTATGCTTTTCTGGCTTCTTTCCTTTTCTCTTTTCAATCCGTTTTCTTGAGTCTTTCCGTACTTAACAATAAGATTAAAACTTACAAGGAGGAAGGGAAAGGAAGAAAGAGAAGTTATTGAAGTTTTAGTAGTAAATTCGTAAACTGTAGTAAATTTCTCGACATTTAATACTTAGGTTTCACCTATGTAAACTATGCATTGGCGCAAATCAGCCAGTGTTCAGCGTGTTCGGCTGAGCGCAAATCAACCGCAAATCAACCCCCGGCATTAAATCTGCGGTTAACTGCTGGTTTTTTAAATCCATTTTTTAAGGTTTTAAGAATCTTATAGTAAATCTTATAGTAAATTAAGACCATTAAGACTTCAGTTTTGATTATAAGCCAAAATTCGTCAAAATATTAACCAATTTTATTCCAAAAGTTGTTTTTCTAGGTAATTTGAGGGCGTAGAATCGAAATTTGGACATATCAGAGCCTGTGGAAACAAACGGACGGAGTTATACAAAGAGAAAAATCGACAATTTTCTGTAATTTGATCTAGCCGTTTTGTCGCGGGTGGGACAAATGCTACTTTTTTTTTGCTGGAAAAGGCCTTAGGCAAGGCCGTAGAGCTTCGAAAATATTTCCCTGTAAAGGAATCGTATGCGTAGATTCCGAATTTCGACAAATCAGACCTCGCTGACACGTCAAATTTGGGCTAAAAGGCAAAAACTACGTAACTTAACGCTTTTCCGCAGTTTTTGCCTTTTAGCCCAAATTCGACGTGTCAGCGAGGTCTGATTTGTCGAAATTCGGAATCTACGCATACGATTCCCTTCTATGAAAACATTTTTGAAGCTCTACGACCTTGCCTAAGGCCTTTTCCAGCAGAAAAAAGGTCGCATTTGTCTCACCCCCGTTAAAATTAAAAGCGTTCCTCAAGAGTGCTGTATTTTCTAAACAGTCAATCATTTGAATTCATTTTAATCCCAAAATAAATCTACTATATATAAAAAATAGTTAAAACGTTTGTCCGTCCGTTTGTCTGTCATGCCTACGCGATAATACAAAATACGTTAACGCAAAATTACAACAAAGTTAGCTAGAAAGCTGAAAATTTGTACACGGGGGTTTTCGGGAGCGAGGAATCCGAGAAACTTAACGCTTTTCCGCAGTTTTTGCCTTTTAGCCCAAATTCGACGTGTCAGCGAGGTCTGATTTGTCGAAATTCGGAATCTACGCATACGATTCCTTTACAGGGAAATATTTTCGAAGCTCTACGACCTTTCCTAAGGCCTTTTCCAGCAAAAAAAAGGTGCGTAAATGTCCGGGCGCGCAAAAAAAGGTCGCATTTGTCCCACTCCCAAAACCTGCGCAAAAAATTGCTTTTATATTTTTTTCTTTGCGCAGGCGCACTTTTTAGAAAACGCATTACTCGACAATTACTCGAGCTATTATTCGGTAGAAAATTACTCATGCAAATTTACTAGAGTAATTACTTACTCGCGAGGAACACACTCTATCGGTAGGCATCTCTTCGATTTGCCCCATTAAAGTCAAGTTATTAAAACGTGTAATCAACATGATACATTTGTTTACTAATTTAGAAAAACTGGCTGTGTATTAAAAATCGAGTTTCCTTTCCTATTTCGAAGTTAGTTGTGACTAGTGTTGACTAGTAAGAGATCAATGACGCCACTGTTTTTCGTTACGGTTTTGGAGACACAAGCTAGCGCCTACCCAAAGCGGAACTCGGAAAATCTTTCGCCTTTCAATTTAGACGTCAAAACATCAAAACTATTAGATTTTTCATTTTGATTTGTACTCCCTTTTCAAACTTTCAAAGAAACTTCCTGTAAAGAAATATTCTTTGCGTGCTTGGTACTCTTCACTCAAGACACGTTATTTCTTGTTTCGAGATATCTGATCTCACTTGAACTAAAAACACTTTATTCAATAGCCGAGTGACTCGGAATCTTTGGGTTCTCATTTGAGCAACTTTTAAACAAGATCGACAATCGAATTAAAAGTGACGATAAAAAACAGAAAGAATTTCGTCCTAATTAGGACACAACTTTCACACAATGAGAGGAAAGCAGAAAGAAAAATGAAAGATAACAAAAAAGCAAAATGAACAACGGTTGCCTTCGATAGGCTTTAACACAAGATACTCAGCTAACAAGCTACAAAACAATAGATGATTTGGGGCGCGAAATAGAATAAAGGCGCACCGATTTCCTCAATACTTTTCCAATTTTTAGGCTGTCAGAGTTAGATAACTTTTAGTGGCTATTCGCCACACTTCCTCAATCTTGTTCTTTAATCCTTTTCTTTTCGATTTCCTCTATTTCCATTACCATTCCATTCCATTACTAACTCAATTCGCAATAATAACTTTGTTTACTTCTTTTCTCGAACTTGTGCCTTTCAGTGGGCTTTAAATCACCGTTTTAAAGGTACAAATTATCGGAGCGATTAGCTCATTTGCTTCAATAAAGTTTTCATTTCCTGAAAAAAAGGTTTTTTCAAAGTTTTTTCAAAGTTTTCAAAGTTTTTCCATTGTTTTTCCATTTCAGTGTTCAATGAAGCGATTCATTCTATTATTTGGGTTTACTTTGGCCATAAAATGTTTTGCTGGAGAAGCAAAGGATGAGCAGATTCACAATTGTCCCTTCTGCATGCTCCCAATTGACAATGTTGGACCACCGAAACACCTCGAAAATGATACGATCAGGTTAAAAAACGATCTTTGATCACTTGGCTAAGAAAAAGTTTACGAATTAGAAGAATAAAGGACTCTCTTCAAATACAGGATCACTTAAAAATTGATTTAATAAAAAAATCGAATGATTTAAGTGATGATCTAGCTTTCCCTTTACGGACTGGACTGTGAAAAGCGATCGATCGATTAACGATCAAATTTGATTCCTAAATAGCCGAGTATACTGTGATCTTATTTGAGATCGAAGATGAGGATTAGAAGATCCGACAATGGATAGCGCCAATCGATTCGTCGTCCTTGAAACCCCTTGAAACGAATCGATTGGCGCTATCCATTATCGGATCTGCTAATCCTCATCTTCAATCTCAAATAAGACCACAGTATACTCGGCTGTTTAGGAATCAAATTTGATCGTTAATCGATCGATCTCTTTCACAGTCATTTACTGTTCGACAAAATGGATAGCGCCAATCGATTCGTCGTCCTTGAAACCCCTTGAAACGATTGGCGATTGACGCTATCCATTGTCGGATCTGCAAATTCTCATCTTCAATCTTTCTATCTAATCTATTAGCTTTTCTATAGCGTTCAGAAGTGAGTCAACAACTTTTAAACGAAAATATTTTCAGCGGTTTTGGCATGAACGTCTCGCAGCGTCGATCGATGTTCAAAGCAATGGGCGCTCATCGCTTTTTCCAACATCATCACTCGCACATCCATCCACATCAACATCAGCAGCCACATCACCAAAAAAAGAAAAGATCAGTTAACAGAAAATAAATGTTCTCACTGATTTAAACTGTTTGAAAAATGCAAAAAATTTTGTAAATTTTGTAAAAAATCCTTTTTAACCCATTCGAAACCGCAGCGTTTTTTCTTTTTTTTCGCCTGGGACCAAGCCTTTTTTTGACATTTTTGACTCCGAAGCAGTTTATCCAGATGGTTGGAAAGATTTAAGAGAGTCTCCTACACCATTTATTTTTGATGAAGAACGATTTGGATTTGACTTTAGTGCTTTTCAAGATCCTATCGATTATTATTCTTATTTTATCGACGATAAATTAATCAATATGTTAGTAGGCGAATCTAATAAACATGGCAAAAGGAAAACAAACTGGCAGGATTTCAATGCAAAATCTTTCAAGCTCTTCCTGACTCTGTATCTTCAAATGGGAATCGTCAAATTACCGAGGATTCGTGACAAATGAGAATTACTGGAGTAGCAGGCCTGGATTAGGAGGATTTTCCCACATGTCCAACATTATGTCAAGAGCAAAATTTGAATCTATTCTTCGCAACCTGCGTTTTTGTGATAATGAACTGGATCCTGCAGGAGATCGGCTTTATAAGATTAGAACTATTATGGAACATTTCAATGCAAAACCAGAGGCTGCATTGATTCCGGGTAAATATGACACGTCTTTTTGTCCACGTAATTTGTAGATTTGTTACAATTGGAATATACATGTAATGCTGAAAAACAGCAAAAAAAGCCAATTAATTGAATGAAAATAGCTCAATTAGCGCTAAAGCGAATAATCGCTGCAGCGGTCCGTTCCTGAGTTTTTGCTGCAGCGATTATTCGCTGCAGAAGTTTCGATGGGGTTAAAAGTCAACTCTTGAAAGGAATTTGAGAAAACATTAAAAAAATGACCAAAATTTTCGATAACAACTAGAATTTAGCTATCTTGTTGTCTTTTTTAAAAGCTTTTATGAATAAGAATTGGTCCATTCAGCTCTTTTTGTTATCTCAAATGGTTTTATCGATGTTTCCTGACCTCTCTTTATTTCTTTGTCCCTAAAATTTCCGCTTTTCTTTTGCTATTTCCTAGACAACAACAAAGAAAGTTTGAGATGATCTGCACGCGTTTTTCTTGCCGAAATCTCGCCTCGTTTTCCGTTTTACCGAAAGGAGCTCAATCGTATGTAAATGGTAGAAAATTTGAGTTAAAATCCAATGCTTTAAAATGCTTAACACATTCACGACAAGGTTTTCTGATTTTTGGTGTAAGTTATTTCCCTAACAGCTTCTCTAAAAGCGTTCACACGCAAGCGATTGGTGAATTGAAAACCGGGTTTTTGCTATTTCTCGTTTTCATGGTGATCAATGTGCATTATATTCTCATCACGAGTTCGTATCTTTTCTGGAATGTCGTGAGTTTTTTTGAGTAATTCACTGAACTGGACTTTGTATTTGAAACACAGCTTTCCTACGAGAAAGAAGAAGTTGAGTAAGTGTGTGACTCGGCTTTTGAGGAAAAGTAAAGCTTAAACAAACAAGCCTAACTAGGGATGCACAGAGATTGGCCACCAAGTTAGACTTATGTATTCGGTTGGTGAATTGAAAACTGCCGGACTTTGAACTAAAATTTATTCAACATAAAGCCATGAATTCATTCGAAATAATTTCCATTATTATTGACGACTTCTGCCCATTTTACAGGCAATTTGTGGATTCCTCTTTCGTAGTAGGATTTTGGTTTGTGTGTGAGACAAGTGTGAGACTCAAAAATCGAGGACTGGAGATGTCAGCTGTCAGCTCAGTTTGAGCACTTTCTTCAAAAGAAACCCATTTTGGTGTCAATGGAAAAGTTGTAGAGAATCAAAAATTAGACTTATAGCCAAATTTCCAAAAAGATACACTTGGTAGTTTCGCTTAAAATGCAAGTTTTGTGAAAAGTCGTAAATTTGGCATTTCTTGAAAACCAGTATTTGAATCGTTCTGAAAATTTGGATATAAGCTTGATTTTTGATTCTCTACAACTTTTCCATTGACACCAATGTCGGTTTCTTTTGAAGAAAGTGTTCAAACTGTCACCTATGACAATAGCCCGCAGTTTTCAATTCACCAACCCAATATTCCCCTACCAGCTTCTCTAAAAACGTTCACACGCAAGCGATTTACGGAAGTTTGGGATAAAAGTGAAGAGAAATGTTTGAAGATCATTTATCTGAATAATACATTAAAGAAATATTGAATTTGAAAAAAGTTCAGAATGTTTTAAGATGAGAAATTTCTGTTTTCAAACAGGTTACCGTTGACTCGGACATTCAAAGCTTCATAACTTTCTTTAAAATCAATATTTTTTTCAAACAGTTTCCAGATAAATGATCCTCAAATATTTCTCTTCATTTTCATCCTTAACTTAAATAAATCGGTTGCCTGTGAACGTTTTTAGAGGAGCTGGAAGGGAAATAACTTACGCAAAAATCAGAAAACCTTGTCGTGAATGTGTTAAAGAGGTTTTTAAAACTTTTTCTAAAAGAACTTACTCCAGGAAAATGGGTGCCAGCTGCTTCCGGAAAAATCTTTGATGTCTACAATCCTTACTCGAATGAACTCCTTACTAAAGCTCCAGATTGTGAAGTGACAGATGCGAAACAAGTGAGTTCAAATATCATTAGTGTCAGGGTTTTCTAAGTAGGATTTTCAAGCTAAGTTCACATAAAGCTTTTGAGTCAACCAGGATGGACTTGCTTGGCTTAGCTTGGCTAGAGCTTGGTTTAAACTATGATTAATCGTCAATCATAAAGTAAGGAATGGCAAAGGAAGATTTCCAGATAGGGGATTTAATCCTTGATCTTTTTTTCCTTTTTGCTTTCCGCGCAGATGCTCTAACTACTGAGCTATTTGGTATCTTTTTGCCAGAGAAGAAAGAGGGAATACAATGGGGAAGAGAAAGGAAGAATGAGAAGGGAAAGGAAGGAAGAAAGAGAAGGGAAAGAAAGGAAGAAACAGAAGGGAAAGAAAGGAAGAAACAGAAAGGAAAGAAAGGAAGAAACAGTAAGGAAAGAAAGGAAGAAACAGTAAGGAAAGAAAGGAAGAAACAAAAGGGAAAGAAAGGAAGAAAGAGAAGGGAAAGAAAGGAAGAAAGAGAAGGGAAAGAAAGGAAGAAACAAAAGGAAAAGAATAAAAAATAAGTTTAAAATAGTGAACCAATTTCATAAATGAATTTTCAGGCAGTGAAAGCAGCTCGCGACGCTTTCGAGCACTGGTCATTGGGCACAACGGCCAAGCAAAGAGGAGCAATTCTGCAGAAATGGGCACAAATCATCACCGAGAAAGAAAAAGAAATGGGAGAGATTTTGACAAAAGAAATGGTAAAAGCTTAAGATCCATGAATTCATATTACTTTGCATTTTCATATTTCTAGGGTAAACCCTGGCCTGAAGCTCGTGGTGAGGTGCTCTTCTCGGCCGGATATTTTGAGTGGTACGCCGGAGAGGCGAGGAGAATCTATGGACAAGTGGGTAAATCATCTAATGACAAGAATGTTTAGTTTTTAGTTTTTCTAGCTTCTAGGATTTGATTCTATTTTCAGATTGTTCCCTCAGCGTCACCAAATCGTGAGCATTTCCATATCAGAGAGCCGATCGGCGTCGTGGCGATGATTACACCGGTAATGTAGAAATTATAGTCTAAACTTTTATGCGTTAAAAATGAAAGATTCAGATTTTATTCTTTGAATAGAGATCACGATTAGAATACGAAAAGCAATCACTACAAGAATTCCATTGTAAAGAACGACCGAGTAAATTGAGTGATATTTGGCAAAAAAAGCTTTTGGCATCTTTATTTGGCATTCGCACAGTCGCCAGCACGATCCTTTAGCAATGTAGTGGATAAGGGGATCGTATCAAGACCCGGCTATCCCCAGTTTTGCTCGGGTTCAATTCCTTGCCAAGCAAGCACTACAAGAATTTCATTGTAAAGAACGACCGAGCAAATTGAGTGATATTTGGCTTATTGCCTTTTGCGCTGTTGCTTGCCGAGAAACGCCTGAAATGCCTACTGTGGCACGGATAAATCCCAGCTTATCACAAACTTTTTAAGCTTTCTTGCTAGAATTTTTTTATTATAATCTAGAATTCAAGCTTTCTTGGAAGAACCAAAAATATGATTCTAACATTTTTAATTTCTCGTAAATTTGAAGCCTCTTTCTTAAAGGGGGGTATTAACCGGGTGACGATAAAAAATTTTTTACGTCAACCACCTGTTTTTTATTTTAATATCGCTGATTTTATTATAAAAAGAATAAAAATCACCCGGCTAGAGTGATTTGATGGGTTTACAAATTTTTGGAGACACTGCAAGGCTTGGAGAAAAACAAGATCGTCACTCATCAGACACCTCAGCTAAAAGGCATCTATTTGAGAAAAATAAAACCACAAAAAACAATAAAATAAATTGTTAATCTACAATTCTTCCTCTTGCTCACTTTCATCTTCGCTCAAGTACAGCAGTTCCTCAAATCGGCTTCCTATCTTATCAATTTTCAGCGCATCTTCACCAGAAGTGACTGGATCTCCTCCACCGTAGGACGTCTTCAGCGCTTTGATTGACACAATTAGATCTTTTTTCCATTTGTGGGCGCTTGTGGTTTTATTTTTCTCAAATAGATGCCTTTTAGCTGAGGTGTCTGATGAGTGACGATCTGGTTTTTCTCGAAGCCTCGCAGTGTCTCCAAAAATTTGTAAACCCATCAAATCACTCTAGCCGGGTGATTTTTATTCTTTTTATAATAAAATCAGCGATATTAAAATAAAAAAACAGGTGGTTGCCGTAAAAAAATTTTTATCGTCACCCGGTCGCGATTAATACCTAAATTAAAGAATAAACAAAACTTTTAACACAAATAAGGATGAGGAGTCTCCTCTCCCCAGTGAGCTCTATCTGTTGAATGTGTTTTAAAAAGCCTCTGCTCTTGAAAAGAATATCTTTCTTCCAATATCAATTTCAATAACTGTTTCTAGTGGAATTTCCCGTCGGCAATGATCGCTCGAAAAGCGTCAGCAGCTTTGGCGGCCGGGTGTTCGGTGATTGTCAAACCGGCACACGAGACACCGCTGAGTGCACTGGCTTTGGCTCAGGTAATTTTATCAATTCAATTCATTCAAACTTAATGATAAGAGTATTATAGCGTTATATCTGGTTGTCTTTGTTGTATCGGATTTGGATTCAGTTCAAATCGGACGTCCGTTTTAGATTGATACATCAATAAGCACTGTTCTGTGTTCTTTTTTCAATGTTTTTACGTAAATGTGCCTTTATTTTCACATTAGATGATATTTGTTCAGTGTTTAAATACTAAAAAGTTACCCTTCGTACCTTTAATCTTGTCTTAAGCGAAAACATTTTATTTTCTCTTTCCGTATTCCCTCTAATAATAGTCCACCAAGAGCGTCGTCTAAATTCCTCGAAATCTCGAGAACCGCTTATCAGAACCTATCGATGTGGGGTCGGAAAATGGAGCTGACGGTGAGATCTTGTGGGAGATTTGAGTGTTGAGCTTCTGGGAAAAATTGGAAACCGTAAAATAGGCATCAACTCGGCTCGGTGCGGTGCACTACTATTAGAGAAAATACGGTAGATTTAAACAATGGCAGCAGGGTTATAATAATGATACTTTATTTAAATTATAAAGTATTACTGTAGTAAAGTAACACTCAGAAAGGACATAATCCGACATTTAGCTTTCATAGTCAGTCCAGCACAAGGTTGATTTCAAAATATGATCTTTGCAAAGATAGAAAATAGCGTATTTTCTCTAATAGTAGTGCACCCTGATCGTCGTCTAAATTCCTCGAAATCTCGAGAACCGCTTATCAGAACCTATCGATGTGGGGTCGGAAAATGTAGCTGACGATGAGATCTTGTGGGGGATTAAAGTGTTGAGCTTCTGGGAGAACTTTGGAAACCGTAAAATAGGCTCAGCGCAGTGCAGTGTTAGAGAAAATGTGGCATCTTTTCTTTCCCCTACCTGATATTCAACGGGAGTCTCCGTGTAGTTAAAGATCGCTCTACCCAATAAAGAGTAGAGAACCAACTTACTATTTAGAAGAGCTAGGCTAATGTCCCATGTTGTGTCCTAGGCTAATGTCCCAAAATAGTCATCAACTCGGCTTGGTGCGGTGCACTACTATTAGAGAAAATACGGTAGAAGTTTACGGGAAATATAAAAAACACACAAGGGAAGCATATGTAGCATTGTTTCATTTCAAATCCGGCGTTCGATTTGAACTGAACTGAATCCAAATCGGAAACAACATATCTATTTGAAAATCAAGCTACTAATTGCCTTAAAAGTCATCTTTAGACCAGTGAAGAAGCCGGAATGCCAGCCGGAGTATTCAACGTTTTGACAACAAGTGCTGAAAATTTACCGGTACATAAAACATTTCATAAATTCAAATATTAAATCAACAATCAAATTTACATCTAGAAATTTGAAATCTCCAAATTTATGAACTATTCCAGGGCATTTCCCGCTATCTCTGTGAAACAACGGATGTCGATTGTGTCTCGTTCACGGGAAGTACCCGAGTTGGAAAGGTTTTCGATCAAATTTCCCTTTTAGAATTTTCTTCGTGATGAAAAAAATGTAAACACACTTTTTCTAGTGCACTGAATAGCTCCTTTTTCTTTTTCAGAAGTGAATGAGAAAAGAAGAAAGAAATGATGCGTTTTGAGAACAAAAAAGTCGAGATATTTCTGGATAGGATTCATTTAAACTGAATTCTCAAGCGCTATTTTATTGTTTTCAGCTTCTCCTTTCTCAATCAGCTTCTACCGTGAAGCGTGTTTGTCTGGAATTAGGTGGCAATGCGCCGTTCATCGTTTTTGAGTCAGCTGATTTGGATTTGGCTGTAAAGGTACGGAAAAATGGAAGTGTTATTTGAAAAACTTGTCATACAAACTCTTGAATGACGAACAAGTTGTCATTCAAACTCGAATTTCCTCAATCCAAATGTTTTTCTCATTTCAGGGCACAATGTCAGCGAAAGTTCGCGGATCCGGCCAAACGTGCGTCTCAGCGAATCGGATATTTGTGCATGAAAAGGTTGAAACTGTTAATGCAAAAGGGTAACTTCTAAAGTCTCAGATTCATGACAAATACCTGGATAAACTTAAAGCAGCTGTGGCTCAACAAGTTGTCGGTGATGGAATGGACTCAAAGACAACCCAAGGGCCACTGATCAACGGGAAAGCTGTTGAAAAGGTGATTTTCAAAAGAAAATATGATTTCTAAACAAAATCTTCATGTATTTATAGGTTGAATTCCTTTTGGATGATGCTTTAAAGAAGGGTGCTCATTTGGTTTGTGGTGGGAAAAGGACGGCCGCTTCGTGCTTTCAACCAACGATCATTACAAGTAAACAGTTATACAGGATGGTCATGGGTATGGGCATAATGGTCATGGGTTTGACGGTCATGAGTTTGACGGTCATGGGTATGATAGAGACGACTCCACGGCACACCTCGGCACCTCGTTCACATTGCTTTTATACAGAACTTTGGCGTTGATCTCGTCTTGCACACAATCGAGTTGAAGAGTTGAACGGATAGCGACGCATATTAAATCTCGCACAATAGGAGTTCGCCCACAAAGATGTCTGGCTGATTATTTTCATCCGGGGTGATCTGGATCACGAGATCGTCACGACAAACACTATGAGAACACACTTTACCTTGGTCTGGTGGAAACAAAGACCAGATTCTTAGTTTGGTATTTCACGTATCCATTAACAAATGTAATTTGATCAGATTTATTCAAATTCTATCAAATTTTGATCTACATTAACCAAAATCTATTTTTCAGACGTTTCCAACAACATGGAGATCGCTCACACGGAGATCTTCGGCCCGATCATCGCCATTCAATCGTAAGAAATACTTGTTTACAGTAATTTTTGGTTAAGGATATCATATTTATTAAAAAAAGGTAAAGTATTAGACTTATCTTATCTATAATAATAAGCTTAAGATTCAACAACGAGGCTGACGTTTTGCGGAGAGCCAATGATTCGAGGGTTGGATTAGCTGGTCAGTGTCAACCTACTACTTAAAAATCTTACTTCAAAATTTTACTAATTCAAATTTCTGTTCAATTAGTTTAATTCCTTTTTTAGGGTATCTCTTCTCTCAAAATATGGCGCAAATTCATCGTGTCACCCGGCGAATGCAAGTGGGAATGATTGGAGTGAATGAGGGTTCGTTTTCAAAGAGAAACAACCAAGTTTTCCTTTTTTTTCTTCAAATCCTAGTACTCAATAGCTAATTATTGCTTTAAAACTTTCAAATTCACATTTATTTTTTGAAATTCAGGTTTAATGTCATGTGTTGAGGCAGCGTTTGGTGGAGTTAAGGAAAGCGGTTTGGGGAGAGAGGTTTGCGTTTCGGAATATGATTCTGTTGACTAAAATTTAAAGTTAAAGTTTAAAACTAAGTTTTAAACTAATTTTTAAACTTACTTTTAAACTAAAAACTTTTAAATCTTGGCCTTAAAATTTGCTCGTAAAACTTGTTTTTCCAGGGTGGCCCGCAAGGCATCGACGAGTTCACTCAGTGGAAATACATTTGTGTGCAGCATTAGTTCAGCGATAATACAATATCCAATTCGTCTCACTGTTCAGTTATAATAAAGAATTTGTCTCATAGTCAGATATTTCCCCAAAAAGCAACGATCTATTGGCAATGATATTGAGAACTGTTGGAGAGTTGGAGAGTCGCATTAATCCGGCCTGTACTCGGCATCACTCGGCTTCTGGATATAAATCTCATTAAAGAGTGCACGTAAGTTAATAGATATTTTGTAACTAATCGCCTTTCGAATTTTCTTTCCTTGATCTTTCCTTGGTCATTATTCGAACTTTGGTAGTTTTTTATGGCCCACCACTCTCTCAACTAACGTTTTCTAAACTATTAGGGTGGTGCAAAAGAAACTGCCGATGGGTATCAGCTCTCATTTATCAGAAACAAGCGATGCGAACGGCATTATTTTTTTTATGTTTTGTTCGCATATTTGTTTGCTATTTATTTCGACACTTCAATTTTTTGGTTTTTGTTTATTTTATTTAAAAATGCTTATATTTTTGATTTAGATCATGGTCGAGCAAAAGTTTGTGCTACGAGCAGCATTACTGTTTAACTTCAAAATTGGAAAGTCTGCTGCCGAATCGCATCGTTCTCTCTGTGCTGCTCTCGGAGATGGCAGTTTGTCTCTCAGGCAGTGTCAGACTTGGTTTCAACGTTTCCGAGAGGGAGACGAGACTTTGGAAGATTACGAGCACGGTTCGAGGCCAGAAGTCGTGAACGAGGCCAAGCTGAGGGACGTTATTCAGGCCGATCCATGCCAATCTGCTCGAGATCTTGCGAAAATATTCCATTGTGATCACGTCACCGTCGAACGCCATCTTTTTTTTGAATTTACCGTCAAATCGGCAGTTTCTTCTGCACCACCCTAATAGAACCGTTGTAGAAAAGTGAAGGCGATAATACCGTATCGAATTCGTCTCACTGTTCAGTTAAAATAAAGTTATAATTGAACTTCAGTTATGATTCGAAAGAAGAAGCGGATGGAAGACAAAGCAAAAGAATATTGAATAATTAGTTAAGTGTTTTGGTTTGAAAATTTCGAATTCAAGAGTTTTTCAGTGCAATCTGGTGAGGTGAAGTGAATAAGGAGTGAAAATTTATAAAATACTGCATTAAAGTATTGTAGTTTTAAGTGGGAATTTGAAAATTTACTTTATTTCCTCAAAAACTTATTATTTTCCCATATTTCCGCCCATATCGCCTCCAAAATCGGCTCCATTTTCTTGATTATCGAAGCATTGTTGCTGGAAACCACAGCTTCCATCGGATTGTCTCAAAAATCCGCGAAGACATTGACATCCTTGGAAGCAAGCAAAATTGCAAAGCTGAACAAATAAAGAAATCATTTTTTTTTGACAAATTAAATGAATCAGCTCATCTTTGAACTCAAAATAAGTACTTTTTCTTATCTTTCTCTAATAGTTGTGCACCCAGAGCGTCGCCTAAATTCCTCGAAATCTCGAGAACCGCTTATCAGAACCTATCGATGTGGGGTCGGAAAATGTAGCTGACGATGAGATCTTGTGCGGGATTTGAGTGTTGAGCTTCTGTGAAAGCTTGGGAACTGTAAAATAATCATTTGGCTCGGCCGGGGGGAGGGGGAAAGGGCACTACAATTAGAGAAAATACAGAAGACCGTATTCTCTCTAATAGTAATCCTGGACAACCTAAATTCCTCGAAATCTCAAAAGCCGCTTATCAGAACCTATCGATGTGGGGTCGGAAAATGTAGCTGACGATGAGGTCTTGTGGGGGATTTGAGTGTTGAGCTTCTGCAAAAGCTTCGAAACCGTAAAATCGTTACCAACTCGGCTCGGTGCGGTGCACTACTATTAGAGAAAATACGGTAACTTAAAATAGGACGACTTTTTATTCAAAAATTCATACTCATTCAAAAGCTTTCTTGTTTTTAAAAACAAATTTATCCCTAGAAAATTTCAAATTGCCCGAGTTTGCCCTCTAGCTTATTGCTTATTGCCTTTTGTGTTGTTGCTTGCCGAGAAACGCCTGAAACGCCTACTGTGGTACGGATAAATCCCAGCTTATCACAAACTTTTTAAGCTTTCCTGAAACAATCAAAAATATGATTCTAAATGTGATTCTCGTAGATTTGGAGCCTCTTTCTTAACGATTCTCTTTTCATAAACCAATTTTGAGCATCCATAAACCAACAAACGACCTGCCAGCTCAAAAGTTCCCATAAATATTGAAAATAAACATAAACAGTCTTTCAAAGAAACGATAATATTCCAATCTTTGTCAACAGGTTTTCACAGTTTCTCTAGAAAGTTTAGAACTCTTCAATTATATCACCCAACATAAAATCAACAACATAAAATCATCATATACTAGCCTTTATATATGTCGTAGCCGATTATGAATGAAATTTTTTGGTAAATCTTTTTAGCAGAGCAACTCTTTAATGTATGAGGACAATATTATATCATCTTGTAGCGAATTGAATTCTGCGTCGATTGGTACCAAATTTGTGAGTTTAGGTTAAAAATTGCTGGCGCTACAACGTTTCATTCAAAAACCCCGTAGCCCATTATGAATGAGTGGGTCTAGGAGCGTCCAACCATCAAGTATTTAGTATCATTCAACGCAGAATCATTAATAATTATGTTAAATTTTTTAAATTAGAAAGATTTGATAAAAAGAAAAAAAATTAGAGCAAAAAAACTGTTTGTTCAAGAGGAAACTTTGAGGCCCCATAATTTTTTTTCCTTTTATCCAATCTTTCTAATTTTAAAAATTTAACATAATTATTAATGATTCTGCGTTGAATGATACTAAATACTTGATGGTTGGACGCTCCTAGACCCACTCATTCATAATGGGCTACGACATATATCACACTATCATAGTATACAAACTATCAAAGCCTCATTATACCACCACCTTCAACCCAACATTAACACTCACAATTCCTTAGGGACTTTAGCAGTGATGTACTTGAGATGATCTAACGGTAATGCAGACCCTAGTGCGTTTGTTTCTTTTATTATAATGGGAAAGTATCGAAAGGCTTCACCTGTGGATTCGGATTGTCACAAGAGGGCTCACATCGTGTTCCACACGTCACCCATTCCTCGTTCATACCACAAGCTAAATTTCGGGCAAGTTTTGTATCATTTCAAATGCCTTACCTTTAAAACCTTTTCCTTGATTCCCATTGCAAGCGTCCATCGTGTCACAAGTTCCGTCGGCTTGGCGGAAAAGTCCTTGATGACATTGGCAGCCTTGGAAACAATCAGCGGTGCATATCTGAACAATTAATCTTTGAATAGGTTGTCATTTTTATATCTTATCAGCTGCTCTGAGCGTTCACTACGCGGCCGCACGAAAATTTTACCTAAAGGTACTAATGGTATGCAGGAAAAATCTGATTGTAGATTCGGATTCCTCGCTCCCGAAAACCCCCGTGTACAAATTTTCAGCTTTCTAGCTAACTTTGTTGTAATTTTGCGTTAACGTATTTTGTATTATCGCGTAGGCATGACAGACAAACGGACGGACAAACGTTTTATTTATTTTTTATATATAGTAGATTTATTTTGGGATTAAAATGAATTCAAATGATTGACTGTTTAGAAAATACAGCACTCTTGAGGAACGCTTTTAATTTTAACGGGGGTGAGACAAATGCGACCTTTTTTTTGCTGGAAAAGGCCTTAGGCAAGGTCGTAGAGCTTCAAAAATGTTTTCATAGAAGGGAATCGTATGCGTAGATTCCGAATTTCGACAAATCAGACCTCGCTGACACGTCGAATTTGGGCTAAAAGGTAAAACGCTTATCCGCAGTTTTTTGCCTTTTAGCCCAAATTCGACGTGTCAGCGAGGTCTGATTTGTCGAAATTCGGAATCTACGCATACGATTCCCCTCTATGAAAACATTTTTGAAGCTCTACGACCTTGCCTAAGGCCTTTTCCAGCAAAAAAGGTGCGCAAATGTCCAGGTGCGCAAAAAAAGGTCGCATTTGTCTCACCCCCATTTTAACTATTTTTCAGTTGTTCTTAGATCAATTTATGTACGAAAAGTAATAGATAATCACTTTTTCGATTGAAAAATCATCATAGAAAGATTAGATTTTCGTTTTTCTTCTTGTTTTTATTGCTGTTGTTGCTGTTGTTGTTATATGTTGTCAACCTGTGGAACGGGAATCGCACATGACGGCTCACAACGCGATGCGCATGGCCCAACCCATTGCTCTTTTGACGAACAAACTGCAAATCACAAATTGATCAGCTTTTATCATCATCAAATTTCATTACAAGAACTCTTTCCAAACCAAATCAGCTCAAATTCTTGAACAATTTTTTTTTGTCAAATTTTGATCAGCATAGACCAACCGTTGAACACCGGCTTTGGCTGAGGCTGAGGGGAATTCGAAGGCAACTGCTGGAAGGCTGAAACTCGAATTAAACCCAATAATAATTCTGAAGTTTTAAACAGATATTTTTGGGTAATTCTTAATTTTAACGACTAGCTTTACTGAAAACGAACCACCAAATCCGGGTGATGGCTGTGGAACGGGTTGTATCATCGGTGCCGGGAATTCGGAGCCTAAAATGATAAGCTCAATAACAGAAATCTTGCTTATTTATTTATTTTAGTTTAGTTTATTTATAAGTTTTAAGATTATATTTTTGATATTTTTAAAATCAAACTTTTATATTTAACTATCCATAGCGCCAAAGTTTGAGTTCGGTTGCGGGCAAGGAATTTGTGGAGTGATTTTGTGGTGAGGGATGGCAATTTGTGGAGGGATTTTGTGGTGAGGGAAAGGAAAACTTTAGCAACTCATTTTTCCATTCAACTTTTACGTTACGATTTTGTGATTTCTTTACGTTACTTTTACGGATTTTTGAATAATGAATTAGTTTTTGAAAATTGACCTCCAAATCCTGCATTTCTTGACGGTCCTTCATTGTTCATTGGCCCTTGTTGACCTAACAAATTTTGATATGAAATATTTAATAGAAATTAGATATTTATTGCCCTAATTTCGGTCGACTTTTGCACAAAAACGTTTAACCAAAAAATTTACATGTCCATTTGTTGAGGGATGAAGATTTAGCATAGCTTTACTTCTAACGAGTTACTTCTAACTCGAGGTATAGGAATTGAATCGACTTGTAATTGCTTTTAAAAGAATCCTCATTAAATTTGGTTGTAGAAAAGTAGACTTGGTTTTGTATACTTATGTATTGGAAGATAGAGGAAATTTGAGTCGAAGTTGACCTTCTAAAGTATAGGGTACACTAGTATACCCTATACTTTAGAGGGTAAACTATATAAACCAGTATAGGGTTGGTGAATTGAAAACTGCTAGCTATTGTCATAGGTGACAGTTTGAGCATTTTCTTCAAAAGAAACCCATTTTGGTGTCAATAGAAAAGTTGTAGAAAATCAAAAATCAAGCTTATATCCAAATTTTCAGAACAATTCAAAAACTGGTTCTCAAGAAATGCCAAATTTACGAATTTTCACAAAACTTGCATTTTAAGCGAAACTACTAAGTGTATCTTTTTGGAAATTTGGCTATAAGCCTAATTTTTGATTCTCTACAACTTTTCTATTGACACCAAAAGGGGTTTCTTTTGAAGAAAGTGCTCAAACTGTGCTGACAGCTGACATCTCCAGTCCTCCATTTTTGAGTCTCACACTTGTCTCACACACAAACCAAAATCCTACTACGAAAGAGGAATCCGCAAATTGCTTGTAAAATGGGCAGAAGTCGTTAATAATAATGGAGATTATTTCGAATGAATTCATGGTTTTATGTTTAATAAAATTTTAGTTCAAAGTCCGGCAGTTCTCAATTCACCAACCCAATAGAAAGTACTAATCAAATTTGCAGGATTACTTGACTCGTTACTCACTTTTCAACAAGTTTCCCCTCCTTTTTGAGGGTATTTTGAGGGTATTCAAGTGCTTTTGTTGGATTCACATCCGGTTTTTAACGTCATTAAGCTTTTTTTTGGTCTATAACTATTATTTAAAGTCTTTGAAAGTCTTTAAAAACTTGGCGATTTTGCTATCAGAGAGTTGACAAATCCGAAAAAATGAAAAATTTTGTTTAAAAGGGTTCTTCTATTGGAATAAATACGGTAGATTTAGGAAACTTCAAGTTTCATTTCATTTTAAACCTCCAAATCCAGGTTGTCCTTGGGGTCCTTGATTTGCTGGTGGTTGATTGTTCATCAAAGGTTGTTGTGGTCCTTGATCTAAAGACTTCTTATTGCAATAAATCCTTGTAGATGTAGTAGATTAGATCCTTTTTATTGACGAACCACCTCCAAATCCCGGCTTTGAATTTGGTGGCGGTTGGGGGAAGTTCATTGGTGGTTGTTGAGGTGGCGCACCTGAGAAACTTATTGAAATGAGTTTTTGATAAGCAAAGTGTAATTATACCTGGCAAACCCTCAAATCTGGATTCATCTTGTTGATCGGCTGGCAGAAATGCGGAAGGTGAGGGAAAGTCTGAGCCTTCGCCTATTTATTAGAAATTGATGGTATAAAACTCGATAGCAGAACTGCACCAATTTGATCTAGTCCAGGTAGGCTGGATTGATTCAATTGGTTCAGCCTGGGATCCAGCTCCAAGTTAGACTTATAGTTCGTAACAAAATTCATAATAATATGGCCTAGACTTGAGTCTGGCTCTGAAGTAAGAAGGCCGGCAGAGCTCATGATATTCAAGTTCCACTATACTAACAAGTTGGGTTAACTATAAGTAATAGTTAGGTCTTCTCCTTCTCCTAATTGTTAGCCCTTCTCCTTCACCTAATAGTTAGTCCTTCTCCTTTTCCTAATCGTTAGGCCTTCTCCTTCTAATAGCTAGCCCTTCTCCTACTCCCAACCATTAGCTCTTCTCCTTCTACTATGAGTACCTCTTTTCACTAGTAAAAAAACAGATTTGGGTCCCTTGTAAGTAGAAATATTCAATTTTTGATTCAAACAAACCCCCGAATCCGGCAGATCCATGGAATCGACCTCCTCTACCTTCATCCATTCCCATTCCTCTTCGATCTCCATGATGTTGAGCAAAACCAACAGCGAAAAGAATAGAAACGATTGTAATCCACATTTTTTGAAGAATATCTTTTCCCAAAAATCTCTCCTTTTGTCCCGAATTTAAATGTGAATCGCTCAATGTTTTGACGGAAAAAAATTCGAAATGATGAACAGCGCACGTTTGATTTGAAATGATTTACAGGCAATTCAAGGGATCATCAAATCAAATTCGATACAATTTCTCGAATTCAAAAGTTATTCGATGCAAATTCCCGTAAAGGAAACATCAATTCGAGCAAACATCGTTTTAGGCCACAATTCAACCATTTCTCCTTTCAACTATTCTAGAGTTTCTTCTCTCAAATAGCTTGTTTTCTAAAAAGTGTCAACTGTTGAAAACCCACCGTGATTTGTTAAGTTTTAACCCGAATTGATGTTTGCATCATCAACATCATCGTCAACATCAAGTTTCCTACAAACGATAGCTTTCAAACAAAATCAATCGATTCATTTCCAAAAACGATCAAACTGAGCTGTTGATTGAATTCGGATTTGCATTGACACCTCTTCACAGATCCGAATTGACTTGAGGCGGAACTGGATCACAAGAGAGTTCACGTTTTAGGCCACAATTCAACCATTTCTCCTTTCAACTATTCTAGAGTTTCTTCTCTCTTGTTTTCTAAAAAGTGTCAACTGTTGAAAACTCACCGTGATTTGCTAAGCTTTTATCCAAGCTTATCTTTTTTCTTTTCCCTTTCCGCCGTTTTAGCACAAATTTTATCGATTTCAATCTATCTTTGCTTGATTTATCTACGCTCAAATGTTAGCCGGATAGGATTGGATTGGATTGGATTGGATTGGATTGGACTGGATTGGATTGGATTGGATTGGATTGGATCGGATCGGATCGGATTCAATTCGATGAATGATCTCATCGGATTATCGAATAGCAAGTCTAACGCGTAGTAAAAACTAATTTCAACTGAATCATGTTGCATTTTAATGTCTACTTATCGTTTCTTCTTGGCTCAGATTACGGTAGCTGAGGTGTACTCTAAGAGATCCTCCAAGAGATACCCCCCGGTGACTTTAGCTAGATCTCCGTGGTTTGCTCTTTATATTCCCAAGAGGTTATGTTACAAAAAGCTTTACAATTACGGTAGAAAGATGATCGGATAGTTTGCATTTGAAATAAAACCAAAAAGTAAATGCTAGGTACAAAAAGTATAATCTTTGAGCTAATCCGATCCTTTCTGTCCGATGGATCGGATCGGCTCGGATTCAATTCGATAGAGGCTTTTATGGATAAATCCGAGATATCGATCGGATTGATCCAATAGGGATTTTGATCGGATCGGATTCAATCCGATAGAAGCTTTTGTCGGATCGGATCGGATCGTGTCATCATCCGAGGCAATCCGATCCGTTGTAATCCGGATTCGATCCATTGGATTGCAAGTCTGATTGTTATGCATTCTCGTCATAAACTTGCGCATCAACAAGTTCAAATCAATATTTATTCTCTAATCATCTCCACCCATATCTCCACCCATATCTCCTCCATCCATCATTCCTGGGCATTGCTGAAGGATATCACAAGTTCCATCGGGTTGTCGGAAGAATCCTTGTTGGCATTGGCATCCTTGGAAGCAGCCGGTTGTGCAAACCTGAAAAAGAAAAGTAGGAGAATAAAATAACTTTGTAAAACTATCGTCACCGATAATTTCCATTCGATTATCTCAATTTTTGATATAATTGAGAAATGGGATCATAGAATGAAACGAAAATTGAGCTGTTTGAATGAAAACTGGCGCTAGGGGAAGGGAAAGAGGCGAGGGCTGGCGCTGAATGAAAACTGGCGCTGAAGGAAAACTGGCGCTGAATGAAAACTGGTGCTAGCTGGCGCTGAGTGAAAACTGGCGCTAGAAAACGCTTTAATAACGGTAGTTTTTCAAAAATGAATCTCTTTTAAAAGCAAATTCCCGTAATCAAGCCTATTAGCTGAATATCAATTTCGAATTGACAACCTGTGGAACTGGATTGTCGCAAGAGGGCTCACATTGAGATCCGCAGTTCATCCATTGCTCGTTGATGGCGCACGCTGGAAACTCATTCCTTTGCAAAATCATTTAATTAAAAATTTTAATCTAACTTTAAGCAACTTTAAGCAACTTTAAAACGTTCAAAAATTCAAACACTTCAAGCATTTTTAATTAGATTTAAGGCTTTAAGACTTATTAAGTATTAACTGATTGATGGTGTTGCCATAGGAGGACAGTTCTCAGCCGTATCACACGTCCCATCGGCTTTACGCACCAATCCCGGAAGACATTGACATCCGTTTTGACAGTTCACTGTACAGAACTGAAAAGAAATGAATTGAAAATTGAGTTCAATGTCGGATTTTTGCCTAATTGTATTCATAAATTACGTTGTTCACTCAAATTCTCAAGAGTTTACTTCAAAATCGCTATTTTTATATCATCAAACTTTCATTTCGTTTATGAAAAAAATCATTACTATAGATAAAATGAAATAATTTGGATGAAAGCTAGCTTAGTGTTGGGCTGTTGAAGCTAAATATTCTTCGGATATCATTGGATGCGCCAAGTCTTTCTCTGTCGATTGGTATAAAAACTATTTGAATTGAACAGCCCAACTACAAGAAATTTGAGCAAAGTTGTCAGCGGGGCAGGGTTGGGGACCAAACGCCCGTCCTTGCCATCGGAATCAACTTTGAGCCAAATACTTGGTGTTAGGGTGTTCAATTCAAATCTTCTTTGTATCATTGGATGCGCCAAGTCTTTCTCTGTCGATTGGTATAAAAACTATTTGAATTGAACAGCCCAACACCAAGATATTTGAGTTTAAAGTTGAATTGCCAATGGTAAAGGGGGGCGCGAGCCCACAAACCCCCCCCCTCCATTGACAATCTAACTGGCTCAATATCTTGGTGTTAGGGTGTTCAATTTAAATCTTCTTGGTATCATTGGATGCGCCAAGTCTTTCTCTGTCAATTAGTACAAAAACAATTCAAATTGAACAGCCCAACACCAAGATATTTGAGTTTAAAGTTAGATTGTCAATGGCAGAGGGGGCGGGTTTGTGGAGCAGTAAAAAAAGAAAAAGGGTAGCGGTAAAAATATCTACGAACCATGGGTTTTTGATTGTCACAAGTGGCTTCACAGCTCGACGCGCACAAGCCAACCCATTGCTCGTTCACGTTGCACGCTGAACTTGTGTTTTGAGAGTATTTTCACTGTTTGAGTTGGATTATTCTTGAAAAAAAATCTAACTTTAAACTGATCACTACCAAAAAAGTAAAGAATTTTTTGGCTTCAGTTTCACCTAGACGCATCATGATCTATTCCAGTAATCTCAAAACATTTTTGGCGGTTTAGCAAAGCCATTTTTGAATGGAACTCTTCTTCATTTAGTCTAAAAATAAACAAAACTCAAAACAAAAACAAAACCTTGAGGAGGTGAGCCTAAATCGATTTGTCCGGGATTCACAAGCACTTCCCCGACATCATGCGGATCCGCGATTTGTTGCGGAAATTGGGCAAATCCAACGACGAACAAAGCCGAAAAGACGACACTTCTCATGGTTGAGAGATCAAGAATCTGTCCTTCTTCAAAATCCACAAATATTTATAGATCTCTGAAATGGAAATGTTTTGACTGCTTTATTTCAAAACATTTGATTTCGGCTCTGGATTTCGATCGCTGGATTCGATGTGAGCTTTGAAACAAACAAGCGTTTCAATTTTGAATCTCATATTTCTTGAAGAAAGTTCAATGAAATGCCTAAAAGGTTGTTTGATTCATGGATAAATAAAAGCACGGTTGTAATTAGAGCCAGAAAAGCTCGTGACGAAACTCGTCGATTGGTTAAAGACTACCGTTGTTCAACATGGACTACCGCAAAAAGATGTCGCTTCGGGTGTCAAATGGAAAAGTGTAAGTAAAAAGTGTGAAAGCAGGCTTAGGCTTAGGCTTTAGGCTCAGGCTTAGGCTTAGGCTTAGGCTTAGGCTCTTGGGCTGGCCGCTATCTAGGATGTTAGAATTTAGGACCAAACTGGCTCAGGACCAAGCCAATACTAGATCAGGCCCTGGCCTGGCCTAATAGCAAAGTCAGTTAAAGCCCTGGATTTGTTATCGTTTCTAGGATCAAACTGAATCAAGTAGAGGATAAGCTGACTAGGCACAGACAGCCGACTTCTTTTAGGCAAAATATAACTATATTTGATTCAAAGAAAGCCTAAACTGAGAGAATTCTTTCGGCATGAGAATTTTCGAATTCTCAAAAAAGAAATTCATTCCAAAATCTTCTTGAAACACATTTGTAGAATCTTCGAGCTAATACTAACCTCAAGCTTGGGTAACTAAACCGACTTTGTTAGCCGCTTTCTTGCTATGCCTCTACCCCGTGTACCAGAAAGCGCGCGATTATGCACTTCTTCAAAGTACATTCTTTTTATGGGTTCGTTCAAAATTGATGGAAAAGTTATAAGCTTTATTACAAAAAAAAATCGAGAATCAATCTTTTGGACATTCTTTGAGTTTGATACACTTTTTGTTATGGCAAACGAATTGCAATTTACAATTGACAGCCTTGAAAGCACATCGCTGGGTAATTTTTAAACGATAGCATTTAGCCAAAACGATCAAAGTCCGTATTGATCAGCTATCAGAAAAACTCCGTAAACTACGTATTGATCAGAAATCAATAACGGTCAATAACTTCAGAAAAACGGTATAATCAATAAAGCGTCAGTAATCGAGGATCTGGGTCTGCACAAGAACCCATTCACCATTCGTTTGTTCCACATTCTGAAACCACAATGTAACTTTGAAATAAACAGTGAAATATCTCTAAAGTTTACAACTAGAAAACTGATCAGAGATATTCCAATGCCCCACTTTATAGCCTTTTCTAGCCACCGTATCCAGCAATCCAGTTACAGTAACCCGAATAGAAGAGTTTCTACCGTAATTGTAAAGATTTTTGTAACATAACCTCTTGGGAACATAAAGACCAAGCCAGAGATCTAGCTAGAGCCACAGTAGCTGGGGTATCCTTTAGAGTACACCTCAGCTACCGTAATCTGAGCCAAGAAGAAGCAATAAGTAGACGCCATAGATTAAAAAGCAATTTCTGGTACAGCTTTCTAAAACATTAGTAAATAGGTAGCACATAACTTTTTTTGGCAAAAAAATCTTTCTTTTGTTAATCATTTTTTCTTAAGCCTCAAAAACTATGAAAACAAACAAATAGCAAGTATCCTTTTCAACATTTTTGTGTCAAAAGTAAAACGGGAGAAATGAGTGATACTTGATTTGATAAATCTCATGATGAATCTTGATGAACAAAGAAATTAGAGCGAAAGTAACTCTACAGCGAGAAATGGGACCGACAAGGAGTAAAAATGACGCTTTTAATCATTCTTGACAAAGCTTTTTATTGAATCAATATTTTTGAATAATCTTTTTTGTATTTATTGGGTTGGTGAATTGAAAATTGCCGGACTTTGAACTAAAATTTATTCAACATAAAACCATCAAGTCATTCCAAATAATTTCTATTATTATTGACGACTTCTGCCCATTTTACAGGCAATTTGTGGATTCCTCTTTGGTGGTAGGATTTTGGTTTTGAATCGAAAAACTTTCAAAGCCAATTTTTGACTGCTTCTTCCGGATCGAAGTGTTCCAAAAGCTCATTACTCATGGTCCGGAATAAATAGTAATCAAAAGGGGCGAGGTCCGGACTGTGTGGGGAATGCGCCAAAAGTTCCCAAACAAGGCTGCCGTAAATACTGTAATAGTACCCCACCCCCCTCGTACAGTCACGTAGTCGCAAAAGTTTTTTAGTATTTCATTTTTTTCAAAGCGCCCGTACTTTCAAAAAAATGCGTCTTTGGTATCAAAAAATAGCTGAAATTCAGGGCTATTTTTTGATACCTAAGCGCGCATTGTAGCATAAACCAGTGTCGAGAAAAACTCGTTCAAAGCTAGACTACGCAACACTCCGCATCGTCATTATGGGGGTGGGGCACTATTCCAGTATTTACGGTATTTATATTAGAGCGAGTCAGTTTTGCAACATGAGGGCGCGCGTTGTCGTGGGTGAGAACGATCTTTGACTTGGAGGGCCTATTCTTCTTGAACTTGAACTTGAAGACAAGAAGTTGAAGAAGCGTGTCAAGAGTTCTTTGATTCAAAGAAGCTGGCTTGGTACTTGCAGATTCGAAATCTTGCTGATCGATGGCAGAAGGTCGTAGAGAATGACGGAGAATGAATATATTGGGTTGGTGAATTGAAAACTGCGGGACTTTGAACTAAGATTTATTCAACATAAAACCATGAATTCATTCCAAATAATCTCCATTATTATTGACGACTTCTGCCCATTTTATAGGCAATTTGCGGATTCCTCTTTCGTGGTAGGATTTTGGTTTGTGTGTGAGACAAGTGTGAGACTCAAAAATCGAGGACTGGAGATGTCCTCCAAAAATGGAGGACAGTTTGAGCACTTTCTTCAAAAGAAACCCATTTTGGTGTCAATAGAAAAGTTGTAGAGAATCAAAAATCAGGTTTATAGCCAAGTTTCCAAAAAGATACACTTAGTAGTTTCGCTTAAAAGGCAAGTTTTGTGAAAATTCGTAAATTTGGCATTTCTTGAAAACCAGTTTTTGAATCGTTCTGAAAATTTGGATCTAAGCTTGATTTTTGATTCTCTACAACTTTTCCATTGACACCAATGTCGGTTTCTTTGGAAGAAAGTGCTCAAACTGTGACATATGACAATAGCCCGCAGTTTTCAATTCACCAATCCAATAATTAAAAAATAAAATTTATTCCAAAATTGCGTACTAAATCGAAAATTTTTGTGAACAAATCAGACTTTCGGGCAATTTTTGAGGTTGATACATTTCCCGTTGTGACGAAAGAAACCTGGTTTACATTTACAGCCCTGATAGCACTCATCTGTGCACACCTGAAAAGATCTTTTTGCATTTGAACTTGAATTGAACAAGAGAATTGCTACAATTAGATTTAACAAGCACTCAAGAAAGACTTCAAAGCTTCATTTTGTCCTGAATTATCTCTATTACTTAAAAAGTTTCTAACAAACTTTGTTCCTTTCTCTTCCCCTTTCACTTCCCCTTTCTCTTCCCCCTTTTATTTCCTCTTTCTTCTCTGGCAAAAAGATGTTGGATAGCTTAGTGGCTAGAGCAATTAGCCCGGAAAGCAAGGGTTCAATCCTCTCTTCGGAAATCTTTCTTTCCCATTCTTTACTTTATTATGAGGAACATACTTCTGGGACAGGTTGTCCACAACTTCCCTCACAAGGAGACGCACACGGGCCAGCCCAATGCTGATTTCTTCCACATTCTGAAAAAATGAACACAACGATTGTCAAACGTCAGGGCAAATGTCAAACGTCTTTTGATTTTTAAAGCTTTTTCTAATTTGCTTAGAAAATTTGCCTTTAACTGACTAACTCTGAGATTTTCGTGACTTCATTTTATTCAACTTTTAACCTTGGCAGGAATTGAGTTTAAAAAAGGCTAAGAAAGAATTACGAGTTAAGGATTACAGTTTTGGAAATTCAATAACACCGATGCTAAACAATTGCCAAACAAGAATACTTGATGACCTTCTTGTTAACCAATTCTTTTCCTTGACTCAAAAATATGAAATCAATGCGAAATGCAACAAGATTACGGTAAGAAAAAGGTAAATTTCTTAAAAAAATATCGAAATGACTAGTAAAACGAACCTTTCTTCTGTCTTTGTGCTAAACAGAAAGCGAATATGAGTAAAATAATGATGATTCCCTTCATTTTGTTGTCAAAATCGATCATTCACTCGTATTTATAGCACTTTTCCGATTATGAAAATAGTTGACGAAAACTTGTTGGTACATTCAGTGAATTTTGTCGAAATGTTCCACAGATAGCGCGGCACAGGTAGCGCGGCACAGGTAGCGCGGCACAGGTAGCGCGGCACAGGTAGCGCGGCACAGGTAGCGCGGCACAGGTAGCGCGGCACAGGTAGCGCGGCACAGGTAGCGCGGCACAGGTAGCGCGGCACAGGTAGCGCGGCACAGGTAGCGCGGCACAGGTAGCGCGGCACAGGTAGCGCGGCACAGGTAGCGCGGCACAGGTAGCGCGGCACAGGTAGCGCGGCACAGGTAGCGCGGCACAGGTAGCGCGGCACAGGTAGCGCGGCACAGGTAGCGCGGCACAGGTAGCGCGGCACAGGTAGCGCGGCACAGGTAGCGCGGCACAGGTAGCGCGGCACAGGTAGCGCGGCACAGGTAGCGCGGCACAGGTAGCGCGGCACAGGTAGCGCGGCACAGGTAGCGCGGCACAGGTAGCGCGGCACAGGTAGCGCGGCAGAGATCCCTTCTCTGGTTCAAGGGGATCGAAATCTGTCGGGTAGATCGAAAAAATAGTACTGCACGCAAATTTGCATTTATCTGAAGTTAACTTTCGCCAAGTTTCACAACAAACTCGAGTTGCATTGGGGAGGATCGATGAACGATGCCTCCATTCGTGTTTATCTTCAGAAGGCTCTCAGAGCTACGCTTTTCGTTTATCTATCAAATAAATAGAAAAAAAAACATTTAGACTTGTTTTTCGATACTCTTTTTCTAATGACTTTTGAAAAGTAATCAAAAAAAATAAAATTTATTCTTAAATTGCGTATGAAATTGAAAATTTTTGTCAACAAATCAGACTTTCGGGCAATTTTTGAGGTTGATACATTTCCTGTTGTGACGAACGAAACCTGGTTTACATTTGCAGCCCTGATAGCACTCCAGTGTGCACACCTCAAAAGATCTTTTTACATTTGAACTTGAATTGAACAAGAGATTAGATTAGATTTAACAAGTGCTCAAGAAAGTCTTCAAAGCTTGGCTTCAAAGCTTCATTTTGTCCTGAATTATCTCTATTACTTAAAAGTTTCTAACAAACTTTGTTCCTTTCTCTTCCCCTTTCTCTTCCCCCTTTTATTTCCTCTTTCTTCTCTGGCAAGAAGATGCTGGATAGCTCAGTGGTTAAAGCAATTGCCCGGAAAGCAAAAAGATCGAGGGTTTAATCCTCTCTTCGGAAATCTTTCTTTCCTATTCCTTACTTTATTATGATGAACATACTTCTGGGACAGGTTGTTCACAAGTTCCCTCACAACGCGACGCACACGGGCCAACCCATTGCTCATTTCTTCCACATTCTGAAAATATGAACATAACAAATGTCAAACGTCTTTTGATTTTTAAAGCTTTTTATAATTTGCTTAGAAAATTAGCTTTTAACTGACTAACTCTGAGATTTTCATGACTTCATTTTGTTCAACTTTTAACCTTGGCAGGAATTGAGTTTAAAAAAAGGCTAAGAAAGTATTACGAGTAAAGGATTGCAGTTTTGTGAATTCAATAACACCGATGCTAAACAATTGCTAAACAAGAACCCTTGAAGGCCTTCTTGTTAACCAACTCTTGTCCTTGTTAACCAAAATATGAAAATATGGGCTAGTAAACTAGTCCCCCCAATCCCCCCAAGTAATCCATCGCCAGAACGCCACGCTTGTGTAGGTCGATGATCGCATCTCGGTACACAACCAATTCTATAACACATTGGAACCAAATCGGTGCCGTGTTGGAGCCAAATCTATGCCCCATTGGAGCCAAATCTTTACCATATTGGAGCCAAATCGGTACCATATTGGAATCAATGCGAAATTCAACAAGATTACGGTAAGAAAAAGGTAAACTTCTTAGAAAATATCGAAATTGCCAGTAAAACGAACTTTTCTTCTGTTCTTGTGCAAAACAGAAAGCGAATACGAGTAAAATAACGATGATTCTCTTCATTTTGTTGTCAAAATCGATCATTCACTCCTATTTATAGCACTTTTCCGATTATGAAAATAGTTGACGAAAACTTGTTGGTACATTCTGTGAATTTTGTCGAAATATTTGTTGATCTTCTTTTGAATTGAATTGCAAAAATAGAGGTGTTGATGGACTTTTGATCGAATGAGAATTTGGGTAAACATCGGTGACTCAGCAGGCATTTATACAGTCAAAAGTTGTTTTTTTTAAAGCACAAAACAACTACTTATTCATATCAGATGAAGTGTCAAAGTAAAAGAATTCAAAAAAGATTTCGCTTTAGAACTTCAGAACACAAGACGGTGTGTACCTTTCGTGTCTCTCGTAGGAAAAGCGGCATCTGGCACAATAGTTGGCACAATAGTTGGCACAGATAGCGCGGCAGAGATAGATAGCGTGGCAGAGATGGCGCGGCAGAGACCCCTTCTCTGGTTCAATTACCCAAGCTTGAGATTTTCAAGAGTTTCTCGAATATTTTGAAAGCGTCCTCGATAGGGAGGTTTAAATAAAGTGAAAAATGTATCTGTTCTAATAGTACTGCCGGGTAGATCAAAAAAATATTACCGCACGCAAATTTGCATTTATCTGAAGTTAACTTTCGCCAAGTTTCACAACAGACTCGAGTTGCATTGGGGAGGATCGATGAACGATGCCTCCATTTGTGTTTATCTTCAGAAGGCTCTCAGAGCTCCGCTTTTCGGAAAGCGGCTGCTGGTGTGGGATACGTTCTCGGCTCACAAAAGTGAGACAACGAGGAAGAAACTCAAGGAGCTTCAGATCGATTCAATTCTTGTGCCCGGTGAGGTTAGTATTAATGCCGAGACCCAAATAAAGTGTCTCGAGAAATTTTGGAACGGATTTCCCCTTTGGAAAGTCTACAAATCTCCTAGTCAGTAATTCGGTCACTTTGAATCCATTTTGACGCTCTAATCCAACAGAAATCCCTCGTGCATTGCGAAAATAAAAAACTAAAGTTGTAAATTCAAAAAGCAATCGATTTACCCTGTTAATTTATGCCAAAATTGATTCACAAGTCTCTAGACCGCAACCGACCTCTTGAATGCAAAGAGCTTACGACACTCGGGATTCCCAAGCCGTCTCCGATCCAAGTACTAACCGACCCAACCTTGCTTAACTTGGCAGATCGTACGGGATGCCGTGTTTTCAACGTGGTATGGAATGAGGGGGAAAATAGAGGCAGCTGAAATAGGCAGCCTCAAGCGAACAAGAGAGAGCATCAACCTCGCAGAGATCCGAGACGACACGACAGTGTGTACCTTTCGCGTGTCTCGTAGCAAAAAGCGGGATCTGGCACATGGCTCGTCCACATAGCGCGACAGGAACCGCAATCTTCGGTTTAATTACCCAAGTTTGAGGTTAGCATTAACCCCGAGACCTTCCAACAGTGTCTCAAAAAAATTTTGGAACGCGTCTTCGTTAGGAGATGCACAAATGAACTAAAAAACGTGATAGGCGTTGAAGCTTTCATGCTTTATTTCATTTTAAACGTGATTTATCAAGAAATGTGTCAACTATTCATTCACTTTCAGTGAAACGCTGCCGCGGAGCCGCACAGGGGATCGTCCACATATGGTGGAGAAAATTTTGAAAAATACGGGTTCTCCTAGTGCTGAAAATTGATTCCTAGCATCATTTTGTCGTTTTCAGATGTGCGATTTCGAATAGTTGGTTTCCTTTCGAAGAATTTCGGAACTAGCTGAAATGGCGGTGAAATGTGAGTGTTGGTGGTGTATAATCGCTCACCATCTGGCACACGGGGCAGATAGATACCGAGAAAGCGGCCACCAAAGTCGGTTTAATTACCCAAGTTAGAGGCTAGTAATAGCGTCAGGATGCACAAAAATGTTTGGGGAAAATTTTGAAACGGATTTCTCTTTTGAGAAGTCCACAAATCTCATAGTCAGCAATTCGAGGGCTTTGGATCTTTTTAATTTTAATCCAAAAGAATACCTCATTGATCTTGTTAGTTGTGTATTGTAAAGCTCCGAGAATAAAGGAAACTAAAGTTGGAAATTCAAAAAATAAAGAACGAAATAAATGAGCTGAAACATTGGCATTAAACTTTATTTCATTTTGACAAAAGTTCACTTCACGGACTTTACAACTGCTGCTTGTCAATGCTTTTAAAAGCTAGAGTTGCAGAAGCAAACCGGTTCTTTCAATTTTTACATTTGTTCGACCCGCTAATCGCTTTCTACGTAGTGTTTTTCGGCGTGATTTGGAGTAAACGGACAAAAAGCCGATCTAGGTGAAATGGGAGAGAAGATTTGAAACTCGTTTTGTGCTCACCACCTGTATCCGGTCACACACAAGTTTTTGATCTGACAAAGATCAGTTTTTAGGGTTAGTATCAACCCTGAGACTTTGGGAAAAGTGTTTCGAGAAATTTTGAAACGGATTTCCCCTTGGGAAGTCCAAAAGTCTCTTTCGAAAGAATCACTCGACTTTGACACACATTGATCTTGCTCTAAGCCCCGAAAATAAAAAACTAAAGTTTAAAATTCATTAAAATTCGAAAAGCAATCCATTTACCTTGTTAATTTGTGCAAAGGGTAATTTTGAATCGATCGACAAAAAAGGAAAACATTTAAAGTTCAAATTGATTTAGACAGGGTTATGCTAGCTGTGTCTTGTCAATCAGAAATAAAGTAAATCCAAACTACAGTATACTCTTGTTAATACCCAGAGATTATAAAGCTTTTTCCTAAAAAAACAAAAGCTTGGGCTCGTCCGGGGATCGAACCCGGGACCTCTCGCACCCAAAGCGAGAATCATACCACTAGACCAACGAGCCATGAGGAAGGGCATCACAAATGAGCAACAAATAGATGTGCGGCAATTTTAAAGCGGGATTTAAATACTTTGCTTTAGGCAACCATTTACCCCTTTTCGATTCATAGAAAAATCCAATGAAAACAAAACTGAAATCTCGTGTTTTCTTTGTAAAAATGGCCGTAACCGCTGTTTTCCCAAAAATAAAAACAATAAAGAAACTGTAGTTTAAAATTTAAAAAGAGGCATAAGAAATTGGATGGGAATTCAATGCCAAACGAAAATCCCTCTCTTTGATGGTTGAATCTTTTTTTCCACAAAGCCGTGAATGAAATCTTTTCCCATTTTCACAACGAGCCATGCCTGAGCTGACGAAAATGGGGTTGATCTTTTTGGATGGTTAAGATCTTGGAGAAAGCTGGCTTCAGCGAGAAAGAATTGTCAATTAGAGAAAAGAGAGACTCCAAAAAAAAGCGCGAGCAGTGGAAGGGAGCAGGTCAGTGGCCAAGCCTCACAAACGGCATCTCAAATGAGCAAGAAATAGATGTGCTTTTGATCTGACAGAGAACAGTTTTTATTTTATTCTTTAAATTGAAGAAAAATCCTATGAATTCATTTTCTAAAAGGTAAAACGTTAAATTTAATAAAATACCGTAATCAAACTTTCGCTTTCATTCGATCATTTCAATTTTCGTATCATTCGATGAAGCTCAACACCAAAATTGAGCTAACTGAATAAAACTAGCATTTGGTTAAGGTAATTTTTCAAAAAGATGTCTTTTAGAAAGCACAGTACCCAAAAATACACTTAAGTCGTGTCTTTTCTTTAAAAAAAAATCATTTTCAAACGTTTTCCAAGTCACAAAAAGCACACAATCTTTCTCAAATCTCCTTTTCTTTATCCAAAATAGCTTTTGTATCTAGTTGAGCCTCTTTCACTCAAATTGATCTTTCCACAAACAATCCCAGAAATAAAATTTTCCCTTCAACTCAAATTGTATGTCAAAAAGTCGGCCTACAAAAGCTAAGGGTGATTTTTGGTGAAAAAAGCGAAACACAAAGAAAATAGGGCAACGAAAAAGCCGAGAAAACTTTTCAACAATGAATTTATTTGCTGGGATGAAACATAAACACAAACACAGAAAAGCATATATTTTTGAAGGGAAACGGGAAAAGATTTCATTCACGGCTTTGTGGAAAAAAGATTCAACCATCAAAGAGAGGGATTTTTGGTTTGGCATTGAATTTCATCTAATTTCTTATGCCTCTTTTTAAATTTTAAACTACAGTTTTTTTTTATTGTTTTTATTTTTGGGAAAACAGCGGTGGGTTACGGTCATTTTTACAAAGAAAACACGAGATTTTAGTTTTGTTTTCATTGGGTTTTTCTATGAATCGAAAAATGGGTAAATGGTTGCCTAAAGCAACGTCTTAATACCGCTTTAAAATTGCCGCACATCTATTTGTTGCTCATTTGTGATGGCTTCCTAGAAACTCTAAGTAGACACTTACTAAGATGTACCATAATTTTGCACTTACTTTACCCCTAATCAACAAAGATCGACAGCGGCTTCTCGGATTAGCCCATATTTTTCTCAATACCACGGTGCACTTCAACCATAAATGACACTAAAGGACCAATCTTAGCAAGTTTAGCAAGTCTAAACCAGAAAATGTTTGTCAGACAGTCAAGACAGTTCTTTCAAGGCCATTTTTACAAAGATTTCAGTTGTGTTTTCATTGGATTTTTCTATGAATCGAAAAGGGGTAAATGGTTGCCTACAGCAAAGTCTTTTAAATCCCGCTTTAAAATTGCCGCACATCTATTTGTTGCTCATTTGTAATTCCCTTCTTCATGGCTCGTTGGTCTAGTGGTATGATTCTCGCTTTGGGTGCGAGAGGTCCCGGGTTCGATCCCCGGACGAGCCCAAGTTTTTGTTTTTTTGGGAAAAAGCTTTATAATCTCTGGGTATTAACAAGAGTATACTGTAGTTTGGATTTACTTTATTTCTGATTGACAAGACACAGCTAGCATAACCCTGTCTAAATCAATTTGAACTTTAAATGTTTTCCTTTTTTGTCGATCGATTCAAAATTACCCTTTGCACAAATTAACAAGGTAAATGGATTGCTTTTCGAATTTTAAACTTTAGTTTTTTATGTTCGGAGCTTAGAGCAAGATCAATGTGTGTTAAAGTCGAGTGATTCTTTCGAAAGAGACTTTTGGACTTCCCAAGGGGAAATCCGTTTCAAAATTTCTCGAAACACTTTTCCCAAAGTCTCAGGGTTGATACTAACCCTAAAAACTGATCTTTGTCGGATCAAAAACTCGTGTGTGACCGGATACAAGTGGTGAGCACAAAACGAGTTTCAAAACTTCTCTCTCACTTCACCTAGATCGGCTTTTTGTCCGTTTACTCCAAATCACGCCGAAAAACACTACGTAGAAAGCGATTAGCGGGTCGAACAAATGTAAAAATTGAAAGAACCGGTTTGCTTCTGCAAAACGCAACTCTAGTTTTTAAAAGCATTGACAAGCAGCAGTTGTAAAGTCCGTGAAGTGAACTTTTGTCAAAATGAAATAAAGTTTAATATCAATGTTTCAGCTCATTTATTCAGTTCTTTATTTTTTGAATTTCTAACTTTAGTTTCCTTTAGTCTCGGAGTTTCACAGTACACAACTAACAAGATCAATGAGGTATTCTTTTGGATTAAAATTAAAAAGATCCAAAGCCATCGAATTGCTGACTATGAGATTTGTGGACTTCTCAAAAGAGAAATCCGTTTCAAAATTTTCCCCAAACATTTTTGTGCATCCTGACGCTATTACTAACCTCTAACTTGGGTAATTAAACCGACTTTGGTGGCCGCTTTCTCGGTATCCATCTGCCCTGGCCAGAAACCTAGACTTGATTGTGTGCGATTGTGTGCTCCCGATTGTGTGCTCCCGATTGTGTGCTCCCGCAAAGCACACCTCCTCATCACCATTGAAATAAAAACTCTGTCCTTAGTTTGACCTCAATTTTCTAAAAGAGTCAACAAATTTCTTCAAGTCTAGTGTTGAATACAGAAAAGTATACAAAGTTCGGCAAAGTTTAAAAGATCAGCGCTGCATGTGTGCCTAGCGTGTCTGATAGAGATCGGCACTGAAAGAGAGTTTTGCCAAAAAGGTGATTGAACGGCGTGAAGAAACTCGCTAAGCATCTCTCAGCATCTCTTTTGTGATGCTTTATCTTCTCTTTTCTTTTCTTCTTTTTCTTGTTTATGTGATGTTTGATAGGATTCATATCTTCAATTCTTTCTTTGCTTTTTCAACTCTTTCTCAACTGTGTGTCGATATTGATGTTCTCCAATGGCACCTGCGATTTTTCAATCGCTTAAGTTTTTGAATATTTTGACTCTTTTAACTATTTTGATTATTTTAACTATTTTACCGAGTTCAAAACTATAATTTTAACGTTAATTTATAACTGAATATCTTCATTTCTAAAGGAATTAGAAGGTTTTGAATCTTTTTGAACTTCTGAATAACTGAATAGCTTTACCGATCTTGTAACTATCTTTATCTTATAACTGAAGATCTTTACTTCGAAAGAAATTAGAGAATTTGTATTTTCTTGAACCAGCTCATTTTTCAGCTTGAACCAGCTCAACCAGCTCATTTTCAGTTAAATAACTTTGTACATTTTCAGCTTAATCCCACCTTTATTCTTCTCTTAAATGCCCTGAGATTTGCCGAATTCTACGATGAATGAAACGGAGATCGACACGACGAGCCTTTTACAAAAAGTTGCTCAATATGCGTTAGAGGTGAGGAAATAAAATGGTCGACGAAATGCTGGGAATCAGCCAATTTTCAGCTAGTTTTACTACCAGACGGTGAACAGCCATGGCCCTTAAAATTGTCTCTAATCCTTATCGGTTATTCAACGATAATCATTCCCTGCTGGCTATTGCTCTATTTTCTTCGAAAGCGTTTCAATGGTGGGTTTTAAAATTAGTCAATGATTGCTGAAAAGTCGTAACTACTGTAATGATTCTATTAGGTTGGTGAATTGAAAACTGCGGGACTTTGAACTAAAATTTATTCAACATAAAACCATCAAGTCATTCCAAATAATTTCCATTATTATTGACGGATTCCTCTTTGGTGGTAGAATTTTGGTTTGTGTGTGAGACAAGTGTGAGACTCAAAAATCGAGGACTGGAGATGTCCCAGTTTGAGCACTTTCTTCAAAAGAAACCCATTTTGGTGTCAATAGAAAAGTTGTGAGAATCAAAAATTAGGCTTATAGCCAAATTTCCAAAAAGATACACTTAGTAGTTTCGCTTAAAAGGCAAGTTTTGTGAAAATTCGTAAATTTGGCATTTCTTGAAAAACAGTTTTTGAATCGTTCTGAAAATTTGGATATAAGCTTGATTTTTGATTCTCTACAACTTTTCCATTGACACCAAAATGGGTTTCTTTTGAAGAAAGTGCTCAGACTATCACATATGACAATAGCCTGCAGTTTTCAATTCACCAACCCAATATTACCGAATCCTTACGGTATGTAACTTTCAGGCGAAAAGACGGAGATCCCTGAGGAATGGTATTGGAGATTGGGAAGAAATTTCGCGATCGGACGACCCGAAGCCGCTCTTCCGAAAAGACAATCATCAACCGATAGTGCACAAGAAATCATCCCACAATCGCAACAAGAAAAAAATGAGAGGAAAAAGATGCTCAAGGAGATTTTCTATTTTGTGCATTATTTCACCGGGATACAGGTTAACGTAGCTTTCGCTTAGGTAAAAAAAAAAATGCACTATTCAGTTGACACTGGTTGCGATGGGCTTTCTACAAGAACGTGTGATCACAAGAGGATATCCAAGGGATATCCCATTAGGTGGAAATGAGAGTGACGTCATTATTGATCGGGTGAGTGAAAACCTAGCACTTTATGGTATAATGGACTCTTGTATTGTACTTTTAAGATTAGTAGATTTGCAGGATGATCAACAATTATAGCGCCGCATTTCAGACGGTCTACTTCAGCCAAAATTGAGTCAATCGTTCTGGATTTTTCTGGATATAAATCTCAAGTATTTTTCCTTAAACGGTGCGCATTATCTAATCGATTTAAGCTTTCAACTTCTTTATATAACCCTTCAAAGTTGAGAGCCGAGTGTCGCTTGGCACTTTATGGAGAGCCTTTATGGAATCGGAAAAACAGGCTGTAGTTTTGGATTTACTTTATTTTTGGTTGACAAGACAAGACAAGACAAGACAAGACAAGACAAGCTAGCATAACCCGATCTAAATCGATTAGATCTTAAAGTAGATATTAACTGAGCTTTGATGACATTTCTCAAGGATTTTTGCAATTAGAGCATATGAAATTTTGTTCATTAACATAAATAAATTCAATCTCAACAAGATTTTGACAAGAGCGCTCTCAAAAATCCCATAAATGTATAGAGTGCCAAGCGAAACTTGGCTCTCAACTCTGAAAGGGCATAGAAAGAAGTTGAAAGGTTGAATCGATTAGATAATGGGCACCACTTAAAGAGATATACTTAAGATTTTGCTGCTGAAAAATCAGAACGATTGACTCAATTTTGGCGAATCTAGGCCATCTGAAGTGTGGCTTTGATCTGAAGTCACCAAAATGGGGTAATGAAGGGTTTCTCCTCGTTTTCTAACTGTTGGCCACCCTGTAGATCTACTTGAATGGCCTAGAATGGCCTAGAGCTAACATTTTTCTTAAAAGTACAATAAAAAGCTGCCCATTCAGTTCAAAAAAGGCTTGATTTCAATATGAAAGCATTGCTTTGATTGATTTAGTTCGGTGACAGTCAATATCTTCTTTTATGGAATCGAATCGTTGCACTGCTAGTAGCAATGGTGGTGATTCTTTGGAACATTCGGAGGTTAGATTGAATAAAGCAAAATAGAGATTGAATAGAGCAAAATAGAGATTGAATAGAGCAGGTTAGATTGAATAGATTCAAGTTCTACAGTAGTACAGTGATACGGCAATACAAACTACAGTAACACTGTAATACGATCATTATTCGATTTGATTTTAGTCAACCCGATCACGTGCCACCCTATTACAAGCACGGTTACACCTCAATCGCCAACACGATCTCTTCTTGGTGTCAATATGAAGCGCTCAAATATGTCTCTTTTCCTACGCAGGTTATTCAAAAAGAATTTCAAATTCTATGCAAATTCTAGATGATTTTCAAATGCTCTAAAATCGTGGTCACAATGATTATGGGAACAATCGTGAGAAGGACAAGGTTGAAATTGAGAATCGATCTTTAAATCGATCTTTAAAGACTTCCTAGACTTCCTAGACTTTTCTAGAAATCTTTCAATTAATTCTCTCAAAACTTTAGATACTCAATTTTCGAATACGTTTGTGGTGGATTGATAGCCGTTGGAGCATCGCTTTTCCTTGTGTCGAGCTCCGATTCGGGAGTCGGCGGGAAAGCGACATCGGTGTGTAACAATCAGTCAAAATCTCGAAACACTTCCTTTTTTGGTACACTGAATAAACTGAATAATGATATTTCTCAGATCTCTGGCATTATTCTTATGATCGGCTACATTTTTGTCGATGCGTTTACGACGAACTGGCAGAAGAAGCTTTTCGATACGAAGCCGAGAGTCAGCAAGTATCAGGTGAGTTCGATCAGCTCATTAGTCCGGGCCCGGTTTCACCACCACTTACGACATTGTCGTAACTCCTTACGACACCATTTCACCACCATTTTACGACACTATTGTAACTTCGTAAATGGGAAAATCTACGAAATTGTCGTAACGGTTTACGACAAGACAGTGTTGCAAGAAAAAGGCTTACGACAGTGTCTCCACGTACAAAACTGTCGTAAAATGGCGGTGGAACCGGGCCCAGGTTTGCCAGGTTTCAGAAATTGAAAAATTTCCATTGAAAAATTCGAAGTTAGTACCAAATCAGTCAAGCGGCCAAAAAACCCGCCTAACGGATGTCTAGGTGGATGTTTTTGCGGCTGAAGCTAGTTGTAGCTGTGGCGCAGTCGGGAGCACGTCCCGAGTCTAGAGCTCAGCCCCCGTAAGGCCAGTCAATCCCGAATTTTTGAATTTTTTATTTTACTTGCATAACTACAATATATTCTAAGGTTTTCTAAAGAAGTTTTAGCTTTATTTAATCAAAACACGGCTGAGAAAATGCGCAGACAGATAAACAGGCAGCTCTTTTATATTTCGTTCCTTGCAAAAATTCAAATGAATTTGATGAGCTATTCCTTTTGCCCCTTTACTCTTCCCAAAATGAGATAAACGTAAATTTCCTCCAGGAGATATCGAGCTGATATAGATGGCTTTATTAGGTTTGTATTCATATCCTATTTATAGCTTTATAGCTTAAATCTATTTAAAACTATACCGGATAAAAGATGATAAAATTGAACGATGAAGAAATGAATTTGCATCAATCAATTGCTAGCCAGCGAAAGCTGCAAATTACGATTGTTTTTCAGATGATGATCGGTGTGAATTGTTTCTCGACGATTCTTTGCTTTGTCTCACTCCTCGAGCAGGGTACCCTTTTCATTTCGACTCGCTACGCACTCACACATAAAGATTTATCAGGTAACAACTCAATAAAGCCACAACGGTAAACCTTAAGCCTTTTAAAGAGATTTGGCTTTCCACAAAGTCTTTTCGTTCTTTTTTTCAACTTCTGTGGAAAAAGAATAGATACACTACTGGACAATGAAATATCATATTTGAAAAAACTCTTTCGCACTTTCGCGCGTCTATAACTCCCTTGTCTTTACCGTATTTCTAAATATTAATATTACCATTGTGTAGCCCTTGAAAAGAGCTTTCAGAAAATGTATAACACTAATAGTTTAAACTCAAAGACAAGGGAGTTACAGACGCGCGAAAGTGACGATCGTTTTTCAAATATCATATTTCATTGTTCAGTACTGTATTCATCAGTTAATCGTTTTCTCTAAATAAAAAGTATTTTGTTCCTCAATTTCCAATCTTTTTAAGTCAATTGGGATCATTTTCAAGTAAATTCGAGAGTGAAAAAAAAAAACGATAAAAATACCTCTACGAAGAAATTGGCTGAATGAGAGCTCTTTGAAAATTTCCCTTTAATTTCCAAACTCAGAGACGTCTTTTTGCTGTCGATCTCGGGTGCTTTTGGTCAGTTGTACATTTATGCGACAATTGCTCACTTTGGACCGATCTGTTTCGCGATCATGTTAACTGTTAGACAGGTGACTTTTTGACGAAACAAAACAAACAAACACAATTTCTATCTTTTTATTCAGATTGGCTCAATCATTCTCTCGTCGATCTATTACGGTCATCCGCTTACAATTTATGCCTGCATCGGCTTGTGCGTCGTTTTTGGCGCCATGTTTGCTGATATTTATCGAAGGTAAGTTCAGGTTGAAAGTCACTTAACTAGAAGAACCGTTATATAGTATAAATAAATTTTCTTTTGTTATTGCAACAAAGCCGATCAATTTTGAAGCTTTACTGTACACATTACTGTTCCTATGAGACAGGCAAAATCAATCTAATTGTTGATTTTTGTCCGGAAAGTCGAATCTGTTCTGCCGAAAATTTGTAGCTTTAATTCAAATATGAAATCTAGAATTTGTGGTATAGTGTACGGGTGTACTTCTGGGATAGTGTACAGGTGTACTTCTGGAATAGTGTAGGGGTGTACTTCTGGAATAGTGTACGGGTGTACTTCTGGAATAGTGTAGGGGTGTACTTCTGGTATAGTGTACGGGCGTACTTCTGGAATAGTGTACGGGTGTACTTCTGGTATGGTGTACGGGTGTACGCTCCTCTCTTGTACTAGGGGCGAGCGCACAATCCCATCTGGCACACGGGGCAGAGAGATAGGGAGAAAGCGGCTAACAAAGTCGGTTTAATTGCCCAAATCATCAGTTAAATGACTTGAGGCAAACACTTGCTCGAGTCTTTTCACATAAGCAAAAAAGTGAGGGGAAAAAGGTTCTAGAAACTAACTTGCGCTAAAATTGAGTACACTCAACTCTCTCTCTATAACGGAACGGAAGCGGAAAACTCTATAACGGAATGGAATTTTGGTCGGTCCCGGCCGACCTATATATAAAATATAAAGCTATATACAACGGCACTCTAGATCTGGGTTTCGGATAGCTTTTTTTTCGGTTCCTTTCGATTCAAACCGAAAATCCGAAAATTTCGTTTAATTCGGTTTTACAGCTGATTTTTTTAAGGTCAATCGAATGGACTTTACTGAAATTTTTCTTTATCTTTAAGTATCAATAAAACTACCGAAATGGAGATCTTTTGTAGAGAAATTTGCATACAAAATTTGCATTTCAAAAGAAATGAGAAAAGAAATTAGCGCTCGACCCGAAATCAAAACAAAATAAAAAAATTTCGGTTTGTTTCGGTTCGATCCGAAACCGAAACCCATGTCTACCGTACTCTATATAATAGAAAAATGTTTTGATCTCTTCCATTCCGTTATAGAGAGTCGATTGTAGTTTTAAAAATACTATAGCTACTAGCCTGCTAGAAAGCATAGAAAAATTGAATCTAAACGGCTGATGAAGCTTGCCTAAACTTGGCATTTTCCCTATGAAAATACGGGGGTTAGTCAAAACAGCGCCATCATAGAAAACGTTCAAAACAGCGCCATCATAGAAAACGTTTAAAACAGCGCCATCATAGAAAACGTTCAAGACAGCGCCGTCAAATTTCTCACAACACAATCGAGTGATACTCAGTTGGTTAACCGAATATCTTTAGAGACCCATTTCAGGTGCTCTTTTTATCTATGAAATATTAACTTTCTTTAAAAAAACTGTTTCACCCATCATGTGGCCAAGAACGAAAGGAATTTTTTGATATAAAACTTGAACCGGCTTGGTTTTTTGGATTTTGAGAAATTTGACGGCGCTGTTTTGAACGTTTACTATTATGACGCTGTTTTGACTACCCCCGAAAATACGGTAGCCTAATTTTGCAAATTTGTAAATGAAAATCGAATTTCAGATATCGTATCCGGCAACGAAACTTGAAGAAGAAGAAAACGGTGAGAAGCAACTCGACGGACACCTCAGCCTCGACCACCTCGACCACTTCAGTCACTTCAGATGACGTAGCCGTCTCTTCTCCAATTCACTCACAACCATCCACTCCAGAACCTCAACAAAATAAGCTTTAATCGCATTTCATCACATTTTATATCTTCATTGTCTTTCTTTTCCCCCATTCTTGGGATTTCTTATGCATAGTGCTTTAGGCTTTATCGATATTTATGCTTAGGCTTGAGTTTTTGATAATAAACTATTGTAATAGCTAGTTAAAAGAAAAGAAAAGAAAAACAAAAACGAAAAATGTAATTAGATTCTAAATGCATCATTGCACCTGCCCCCCACCCAACATCCGTGCGAAATAAGACAAAAAAAACGTTCTCTATCAGAATTCCCCAAGTTTAGAAAAACGTTCGTGGAAAAACAAGTTGTAAAGCTTTCTTTTTTTTTCTTTTTCTGATACTTTGACAAGAATTATCTTTATAAAAAGTTAATTAAACATTTGGTTACAAACAAAAGTCCGACTCTACGCTGATGATCTTAAAATTTATAGGGTACTTTCGTCCCATAGCCGCATCCCTGATTTTACTCTTCCCCAGAAGGATCTTAATTTATCAATATTTATGGTTAGGCTTGACTTTTGATAATAAACTATTGTAATAGCTAGCCAAAACTGTGAAGTAAATTGTGTGTAATAGTGTTGATAATAAACTATGTGATAATAAACGATATAGCTAGCGATAGAAAGATATAGCTAGCGACCCTTTTGTGGAGTAAATTTTGGAAAATTAACATTGCGCCGGACAAATGCAAACACGCTACATTTCGTTCATTACATATCCCTTTAAATTTGGGAAACCTACAATTACCACAAGGATTGGCCGATGATCCTGTAAAAGATCTTGGTATACGGTTAGTTCCCTCTCTAAAATTTGATCCTCACATAAACTACATATCCAAAAAAGCTTCTAGAATTTCTAACATAATACTTCGCGCCATTTGTTTCCCTAAAATAGCGACTTATTGCCGGCCTTTGCTCGAGTATGCCACCATCGTATGGTCACCTTTCATTAAGAAACTTATCACCTTGGTTGAAAATGTCCAACAGCGTTTCACTAAAAAAAGCATACACTCGTTGTTTCCCTTCGTCTCTTATTCCAAATTATGAGACTAGACTTATCGTTTTTGATTTAAAACCCCTTTTATATCGCCGTATTTACTTTGATCTTCTTTTTTTGCTATAAATTTCTTTTCCACCCAGTCGCATCCAGAATTTCAAAGCTTCTTGAAAATTGTGGAAATTCCTAGAAGTAGACGTAGTGATTCTTATCAAATTTTCGATTTGATTCTTGTCGATTCTCATCCCCATCATCTTTCCCTTTATTTGGGAACCTTATTAGTAGGGTTTGGAATAAGCTTCCGTCTTTGACTTGGAATAAGCTCGCGTCTGGTATCTTCTCGTCTCTAGGAAAATTGAAAGTATCTGTAAACGAATTAGATCTTATTGCCATGTCAAATCTGCTCTATATTTAATCTGTTGTACCTGTGTTTCCTAACTGTAGTCTTACTGTACCATTTTTAGTTTTTTTTCTTTTTTTGTGAAAGTATTGTAGAAATATGTTATATGCGGTTAATAAGGCATATATATAAAGGGAAATAAACTTTACCTTTTGAAATCTTGACAATTTTTTGAAGCAAAATATTGAAATTCTTCTCCAATTCGTTTTAAGTCAAGTACGAAAAATGAAAATTAATCAAGATCAGATCATTAAGCTAAAAAAAAATACTTTAAACATCAAAAATCTTTTGAAAGCAAGCTTTCTTTGGATCAAAACTTGAAATTTTTTCATTATCTTCACTAGCATTTGATGCAGAGAGCTCTTCCATTGGTAGTTGAACTTTTCTGTCACTTTGATCTTTGGAAATTTAAGCTTTGATTAGTTTCATTCAAAAAGATTCTTAAAATTAGCAATCCTAGACTATTTTAGTCCTTTTGGTTGTAAAGCTCACGTATCTATAGCTAGATAATTCCGGGATTCAATCCAACCCCAGTCAATGAGTTTTTGCGCGAGTCAGCTGCTGTCTTCTTTCTTTCTTCTTTCTTCTTTCATCTTTCATCTTTCATCTTTCTTCTTTCTTCTTTCTTCTTTTCTTTCTTCTTCTTCTTCTTCTTTCTTTCATCTTTCTTCTTTCATCTTTCTTCTTTCTTCTTTCTTCTTTTCTTTCTTCTTTCTTCTTCTTCTTTCTTTAATCTATCTACGAATCTCTTTTCTATTAATTGAACACTTTTAGAGTAATGATATGTAACCGATTGTGCGATCAATTGAGAGTGATTCGAGTGGAGAGAGAAATCTAGACTCATATAGTCTTCAAATGAAAAACGAACACTTGCAACTTTCTTTAAATGCGTAGGCTACACACAGGAAAAGTTTTACAGTTTATGGGTAAACTTAAAGAACATTGCAATGGGTCAACTTAAAGAACATTGCAATGGGTCAACTTAAAGAACTGATCCACATTTGCTACTTTAGAGTTAAACCTTATTGTTTTGCTTGCTTTACATGATTTGCTCTTGAAATGAAACACGTGTAGCGAAATGCGTTTTCTAAAATGCACGAAAAGCTACCGTAATCAATTTCCAGTTTTGGTATCATTTGATGAGAAATCACAAGACACAATGACACAATTGAGCTAATTAAATGAAACTGGCAGTTAGATTACGGTAGTTTTTCAAAATAGGTGCCTTTTAGAAAACGCAGTGCCCGGAGAATACACCTAAATCATATATATTCTTTAAAGTTAAAGTTTTGAAGTCAAAAATTGAAGACTCGAGCAATTAAACATCAAAATAAGACAAAAACGAAAGGAAGGGGGTTGAACCAGAGCAAAAAATTGCTAGCTCGTCTCGTAAAGAAAGCTCTTATCCACTACACCACAAGCTGACATATCGGGACGGTGAAAGAAGCGTTATATAGGCTTCTTTCATGAAGCTCTTATATAGGCCTTGATTTTTGGCCTCTAATTTAACCTCAAAGTTTACCCTTTCATCAAATCATTTCGCAAAAACGGATAACAGCATCGGAATCAGCGTAAAATTCTCTGGATTGATCACCTCTTTTGACTTTCCTTTATCTAGAAACTAAAATTTCGCTGATTGCCAGTATAAATACACTGGTTTTTAGAAAATCAAAATCTATTGGGTAATTTAAATCAATCTAGAGTCTAATCTCTTTGCTGATCCTCGAAATCTCTTATTGCTTCTTGCTTTCAACTTTTCAACATCGCTAACTTTTTCCAGAAACCTCAACAATTTCCACAAGGTGTCATTTCTTTTGATCGTTTTTTTTTGCGATCTGTGTCTTTTAACTAGATGAGAGTGATGAGAGAAGAGCCGCTTTTGACTTTTCCAAAAGACAACTGACTCTTCCACATGTTTTTCCAAGTATTTCTTATCACAAAAATCTCGGATGATATGCAAAAAATGGTTAAAGAAACGCAGGACTCGTGCAGAAAATGAATCCAAAAAAAATGAAAGCACTATAGCAATACCTACAAAACAAACATGTGACACACTGAAAGTTTCCTTTGGTTTACCTGACTTTGAACAATTTAAATAAAAAATGATGTTTTTGATGATGCTTGTCTTGGGTTAAAGCTTTATTTAGTCTATTTTATACCTAGATTTACATAGATTTTATGTTTAGACTGATTAAATTGCTTGTAATACAATTGAGAATCGTATTGGACTTGAGAAAAATCGGTACCTGTTTAGAAATTGTAGTACTTGTTAGTACTTTTTTGTTTAAGTACTTGTTTAGAATTGGTAGCACTTGTTACTTGTAGTACTTGTTCCTCTTCTTCTAGTACTTGTTAGTACTTGTTTGTTCAAGTACTTCTTTAGAATTGGTAGTACTTGTTCTTTTCCTGGTACTTGTTTAGACTTTTAGTACTTGTTAGTACTCGTTTCTTCTAGGAATTGTTTAGAACTTGTACTACTTGTTACTTGTAGTACTTGTTCCTCTTCTTCTAGTACTTGTTTAGACATTTAGTACTTGTTACTACTTATTTTTTCTAGTACTTGCTTGTTTTTGACTTCAACGATGCATCAATAAACGAGAATCGAATGCACAAGTACGAAATTTCTCTTTCTTATGTCTGTTCAACATTTTTTTCATGAAACATTAAACCGATTAAGCTATCTGTCACCCAACAAAGATAAATTTACCATTCTTTTTTCAGTAAATCCAATTTGTTTAAGTTTTTCTATATAATTTGCATCTAAACAATCTGGTTTACGATTAAGAAGCACAAATTTGAAATCAAAAACCTAAACGGTAATATGGAGGGTTTTTTTTCTTCAAAACCACTTTTTCCGGGTTACTTTTAGGTGTAGATCCGGAAAAACACAACATGAGATTAGGAAAATGCGTTTTAAGTCGAGTTTCGGGGCTTCAAACTGGGCACTAGGTTACTTCACTATATGGAGCCCAATCTATCGACTATTGGGTCACTTTTCAAGGTCAAAATTACAACCAAAACCATTTTTTAAACACTAAATATTCATTTTCTAACTTAAATTGACTGGTAGAGGCAATGAGACAGGGTGATGAGAGGGATACACATAGGGAAGAGGTCTAAAAATGGCCTCTCAAAGCATTTTGTTGAAGCCAAAAACACTTCTTCTAGCATAATTTAACCTACTGGTTACGTTTATGATCAAATTAAAGCAAATTTTTGGTTTTGGTTGTAGTTTTGACCTTGAAACGTGCTACAATAGTCGATAGCTTGGGCTTCATATAGCGCCAACTAGCGCCCAGTTTGAAGCCCCGAAACTCGACTTAAAACGCATTTTCCTAAGCTCTCGTTGTGTTTTTCCGGATCTACACCTAAAAGTAACCCGGAAAAAGTGGTTTTAAAGAAGAAAAAAAGTGCTCAAGGCCAGTACCGCCTAAATAACTTCAAAAGCTTCAAGTCTTGACTTTTGAAGCAGCAAGATTTTGTGATTTTTTTGTTGCAAAGATCATTGACTTTTTCTCCTCTAGATATTCAGGCTAAAAAATGTCACTCATGCTTTTTCCTTTTCTCTCTCCCTCATCTCTAAAAAGTCTCAAATTACCGTCGCAAAGTGTGAAAAGTTCTCGTGATCTCAATCAATCTTTGAATCATTATTTTTTTCTCTAATCAAACATTTTTTTACTATTTCAGGCAAAGATCAAAGCTTTATGGCGATATTAGAAAAGGAGAGATGATACAAATGTAAGTTTTTCGTTTTTTAAAACGTTCGGGACGATTCGGTCCATCGGTGGACGAAATTTTTGACGCGCTAGAACTTTTCAACTTTTTAAGATAATTTCAAAATGTAAAAAGATGATGTTGATGTTTATTTAGCTGAGCATCTAGCTGATCTAGTTCATCTAGCTGATCTAGTTCATCTAGTTCATCTAGCTGATCTAGTTCATCTAGCTGATCTAGTTCATCTAGCTGATCTAGTTCATCTAGCTGATCTAGTTCATCTAGCTGATCTAGTTCATCTAGCTGATCTAGTTCATCTAGCTGATCTAGTTCATCTAGTTCATCTAGCTGATCTAGTTCATCTAGCTGATCTAGTTCATCTAGCTGATCTAGTTCATCTAGCTGATCTAGTTCATCTAGCTGATCTAGTTCATCTAGTTCATCTAGCTGATCTAGTTCATCTAGCTGATCTAGTTCATCTAGCTGATCTAGTTCATCTAGCTGATCTAGTTCATCTAGCTGATCTAGTTCATCTAGCTGATCTAGTTCATCTAGCTGATCTAGTTCATCTAGCTCCATCCAATAAAACAAAAATCGTGGAAAACGGACCATTGGAGAAAGAGAAATGTAGCGTTTTGTCTCACGAGCCAAAAAGAGCCGATATCTTTTTGAGGCAGCAATACTTTCAAAATCTGATTAGAGATTCGGGTTCAGCATGAAATTTTACATATAGGAGGTGTATTTCGGGGCTGATAGCTTTGCGAGACACCCCAGTAACAGTAACGCAAAAAAAACGCCTCGTCGCGAATGTGTTAAACTTCTATTTAGCTGGATCAAACTATGAAATGAATGCTTTAAAAAAAAATACACTTAAACCAATAATTTGATATAAACAAAGGAAACATAATAAGAAATAAAGGTCTAAACAAACAATTTTATGGCACCGTTATCCTTATTATTTTTTAAACAATTTTAAACAAGAAAACAATTTTATGGCACTGCGGCTGTTACCCCCTATTATCCCTATCAATATGAAAGTTTTGTTTTTAGCTTCCTCCTTGGCCTGTTGGCTCATTCAACTCATAGCCTTACATCGATTGGTGAAATCATTGAAAATACGATCAAGCGAATTCCCACACAAAACACCACCCGACCACTCGAAGTTCGATTGGGATTCTACTTGGAGAGTATTGGAAATTTCAAATCCGCTGAAATGGTGAGTTTAAAAGGACTAATGACCAATTTAACGACTAAAACTAGAGCTGTTCCGAGCTTTGGCCTGGCCTAACTTTCCAAGTTTCTCAGCCCTGCTCATCTTTTCTTTTATCTTTCTATTTTTAGTCCTTTGACGTGGATATGTACTTGTACATGTCGTGGAAAGATCACCGTTTAAGGCATCGCTCCGTCGATCAAGTACTCGTCACCGATGATCGCATTAGGAAGAAGCTTTGGTTGGTGCCATTTGGTTTAGATCTTTTTTTTGGATTTATAATGTTTACTAGTTCGAATCTATTAAGCTGAGTACTAACAAGGGAATGGGCAGAAGTGGAGGAGAAATGAGTGATACTTCATTTGATAAATCTCATGATGAATCTTGATGAACAAAGAAATTAGAGCTAAAGTAACTCTACAACGAGAAATGGGACCGACAAGAAGTAAAAATCATGCTTTTGACCATTCTTGACAAAGCTTTTTATTGAATCGATATTTTTGAATAATCTTTTTTGTATTTACTGGGTTGGTGAGTTGAAAACTGCCGGACTTTGAACTAAAATTTATTCAACACAAAATCATCAATTCATTCCGAATAATTTCCATTATTATTGACGACTTCTGCCCATTTTACAGGCAATTTGCGGATTCCTCTTTCGTAGTAGGATTTTGGTTTGTGTGTGAGACAAGTGTGAGACTCAAAAATGGAGGACTGGAGATGTCAGCTGTCAGCCCAGTTTGAGCACTTTCTTCAAAAGAAACCCATTTTGGTGTCAATGGAAAAGTTGTAGAGAATCAAAAATTAGGCTTATATTCAAATTTTCAGAATGATTCAAAAACTCGTTTTTCAGGAAATGCCAAATTTACGAATTTTCACAAAACTTGCATTTTAAGCGAAATTACAAAGTGTATCTTTTTGGAAACTTGGCTATAAACCTGATTTTTGATTCTCTACAACTTTTCTATTGACACCAAAATGGGTTTCTTTTGAAGAAAGTACTCAAACTGGGACATCTCCAGTCCTCGATTTTTGAGTCTCACACTTGTCTCACACACAAACCAAAATCCTACTACGAAAGAGGAATCCTGTGACATATGACAATAGCCCGCCGTTTTCAATTCACCAACCCAATAATATTAGGTACATGCATAAGAAATGCGGATTTCAACATTTTCACTCGCATTTTGCCCTCGAAATTTCTTCAATGGTTCGATCAATTGAAACACGTTTTACCCTATTTTGTAAAGGAGATTTAGAACTTTCAAATAGTTTATAACATTCATCGATATCAGGTTTCTATCGTTGGAAATTTATGAAAATGTTGAAATCCGCATTTCTTATAGTTTTCATTGAAAGAAACGATCGAAAAGGCAATCATTTTTAACTTTGTCGACTTTGTCGTTTTTAAACACTCGGCTTCTTGCTAATGAAAAACCGTCAAAACAAAGCTTTTCAAAAACTTTCGAAAGTCATTTGCAAGAAAACGGTTTAGGCTATCTGATGAAATGAACCTTTTATTTGGTAGCTTGAGACTTATTGAAGTTAGAAAATGAATTTGGGTGAAAGACTTAGTACTTAACCTAATTGTTGATGGTCATTGATTTTTAGCTTTAAATGATTTCATTTTTCAGTTGAAACAAAAAAAAAAACAATTTAGGCTACCAGATCTATATTTTGCGAACGCAAAAGAGGCAAAAGTTCACGAGGTGACCGCTCCGAATTTCAATATATTCATTGATAAAGATGGAACGATTGCTTACTCGTGCCGGTTCACGTACGTTTTGAAAACATTAAGAAATTCCGGAAGTAGAGTTCTTTTCTAGCACACTTAATTGTCGATGAGTGCACCAGAAAGTGATTTCCATAAGTACATACCGTAAATACTGTAATAGTACCGCACCCCCATAATGACGGTGCGGAGTGTTGCGTAGTCTAGCTTTGAACAAGTTTTTCTAGACACTGGTTTATGCTACAATGCGCGCTTAGGTATCAAAAAATAGCTGAAATTCAGGGCTATTTTTTGATACCAAAGACACATTTTTTTGAAAGTAAGCTTTGAAAAAAATGAAATACTAAAAAACTTTTGCGACTACGCGACTGTACGAGGGTGGTGGGGTACTATTACAGTATTTACGGTAGCTTGTTCCAAAGGAAAATTCCGTTTCCAGGTTTGTCTGTCAAAAGCAAGCCTGTCTATAAGCTAAGTTCTGTTTTGGCTCTTGATCTAGTCTGATTTGGCTTTGTTCTTGAATTGTCCCCCAGAGCTAGGTCTAGACCCAGCCAGGCAAAGACCCATATTGTCATTGCCATTGCTTAACAAGGTGATTTCGTTTCAGGATGTCGATCAGTTGCAACTTGCAACTCCGAAACTATCCAATGGACGTGCAAATGTGCGGAATTCGGATTCTTTCTTGTAAGTGTCGATTGGGAAAATTCACTGTTAGATTGTTTAATTTCAGATGCGCACATACAAAAGCAAATGGACGTGAAATGGTTTGACGAGGGGCCGATCCGAGCAAATCCGGAAATTCGGTGAATTTTTGGTAAAATTTCAAACGTCTAAGAGTTAAATTCTCTTATTTTGGATATTCAGTGAACCAAACTGAAGAATTAAATTAAATCAAATAGATCTTAACACGTTGACGACAATGGCGTTTTTGCACAAACAATCGCATGGGACAACGTTGTTTTTGCGACAAAAAATGTCACCTGACATCAGGTGACAATGTCCCACAGAGTTCTTTTTTCAAACTTAAAATTTTTGTGAAAGTTTAAAATGATTATTTGATAATTATGAAATAACAATAATCTAGAAAGTTTTATTCGTTGGTGATGTTTCTAAGTAGGAGATAAATAGCACTTATCACCGTTGGCTCTCTAAATAATTCCAGATCGTAAGGGCTGGTGACTATAAATCACCACGGATGTCCTATCAGTATTCAACTTTTTATAGCTGTTTATTTATTTTTATATAAACCACAAACTACAGGTTTGCGTAAACCTACAGGTACGGGTCCGTATTAGACTTGGGCCGGAATTCTGGTTTCGTCAGACTCCTCTAATTTGTCGAAGTGCCATCCGTTCCAGTCCCAGGCTCACTTTATATGACGCGTGCGAAATTCTACATTTTTCTCTCAAAGTAGTAACAGTTTGGCAAGTTAGAGGCGTCTGACATGCTTGAATCTGATTCCTAGGGGTCTCGAGAAAAAGATTTTGACCATTATTTTTGCACCAACTTTTGCAGGGCTTATAACTCGCGTACTAGAAGTCAGTGGCAAAAACGGAATTCGGATTCTGAATCCTCTCGAAGAGACGCTTCAAATAAGCTATAGCTCGTAGCAAAAGGCCACAGACCCCGCTGACCACTGTTAGTTGTAGTTCTTAATAATCATTAATAATCAACGGTTAAATCGACATTTTCCGGGACCAAGTCGAATATAGATACTACCCTACTTGCTTATTTAATATCCATCATCAGCAAAAATAAATATGCACAAAAAAAAAATCAATTTTGGTACTGTCACCTGACATCAGGTGACAATGTCCCAGGCGAACGAATATGTGTCAGACAGCATCTGGTGACAATGTCGTCAACGTGTTAAAGATCTATTTGAAATCATTCAAACTTTCTCTTCAGACTTCCCGAATTCGAGATCACGAATATTACTGCCCGTTATTGCAATGGAGCCTATCGATATGCGGTCACTCAAAATGGATATAAATACGGTAAAAACTCAATACTTTGCATAGAAAAATTCGTTGTTTTTTAGATAACTTCAGTTGTTTATTCGGAAAGATTTTCCTCTCTCGAAATATGGGATATAATTTGATTCAAAGTTACATCCCGACTGGGTTAATCGTTGTCATTTCTTGGGTTTCTTTTTGGATCGATCGGAGAGGTTTTTTTGCTGAGAAATGTTCGCAGAAAATTGAGAAAATTGAGAAAATTTCAGCTGTGCCGGCTAGGGTGACTCTCTCATTCACGACGCTCGTTTCATTGACAACTTTGGTAAGTTGATTGGTTTCTTTTCACTTAACTGGATAAAGATAAAGATAAAGAATGAATTTTACCATTGTGAATCAAACTGTCAATCAAAGTACAGTACTCTTTATGTACTTTTTAGGGTAACGGTATGCGTTACGGTCTACCGATGGTCGACTACGCGAAAGCTATCGATTTATGGTATGGAGGTGAGTCTAATGAGATTTCCCCTTGAAGTAAAGCATTTTCCACCATCTGCCAACTTTCAAAAGCTACCTTAATCTAGAGTATATTGTAAAGAATACATTAAAGTTGTAACGAAAACATCTGTCGTTAAGGTTTTTCGTCTTTTTCTCAGCACCAATCCTTTTATTTTGACTATTTTGACTATCATTCGATGCAGAATAAAATTGTGCGTCGAATGATACCAAAATCAACTCAAAATCTAATATCCACGCAAAGTTGTCGGCTAAAAACCTAAACGCCGCTCATTATGGGCGGGACTTGGCCTTTTGCCGCATAACTTTGCATGGAGTTTACATTTTAAGTTCATTTTGGTATCATTCGACGCGCAATTTTGATTCTGCATCAAATGATAGTCAAAATAGTTCAAATCGAAGGATTGGTGCTGAGAAAAAGGCGAAAAACCTTAAATTGCGGCAAAAGGGGCCGACAGATATTTTTATTTATAAGTTTAATAGATCGTAAGCTAGTAAGTTCATGGGTTACTTGGATGTTGATTTAGAATAGATTTATAGATAGAACTTAGCTCTGTAATAGACTTAGAACTTGACTTTACAGTAATAGTACAATAATAGTAAAGCCACCCACTTGTATTAGTGCACCAATTCACCAATCAATTCCTTACCCTGCAAAGCGGATCTTTTACAGATTGAGGAGCATGATTGCGAACTTAAACCCAGCTCATTATGGGCGGGACTTAGCCTTTTGCCGCATAACTTTGCATGGAGTTTACATTTTATACAGAAATACGTCAAACTTGTAACAAAAACATCTGTCGTTGACAATTTAAGGTTTTCTTTGACAAATTTAAGGGCTAAGTCGCCTTTTTCTCAGCACCAATCCTTCGATTTGAACTATTTTGAGTATCATTCGATGCAGAATCAAAATTGCGCGTCGAATGATACCAAAATCAACTCAAAATCTAATATCTAGGCAAAGCTATGAGGCAAACGGTTAAGTTCCGTCCCGGGTTTAGGTTTTTAGTCAAGAACTTTGCATGGGTATTAGATTTTAAGATAACTTTTGTATCATTTGACGTGCAATTTTGATTCTGCATCAAATGATAGTCAAAATAGTCAAAATAGCGGCTCACTTATTACCGCCACTACTCTCAAACTTTCTACCAAACTATCGGAGATGTTAGCCTTCGAACGGTAACTCTCGAACGTGTGCTTCGCTTGAGCATTCGAGCCTGATTTTTTACAACGTAATCTTGCCTTTAGTAACTAATATATTTGAGGTTTTCTTAGATTTTCTTAGATAACTCATAGATTACGGATTACGGACTACTGTAGCTTTTTCAAGTTATAGAAATCGCTTTGGATTATTCTAAACTGTACAAAGACACAGCACTAGGTCTGCTTTTCGAATCGATTCGGAGAACAGAACCGATTCGATTCTAAACAAAGCCAAACCAAAAACCAGATCTAATAAGCACAAGTTGAAGTTAACTGCCAGATCTTGTTGAAGTTAACTGGCAGACCTTGTTGAAGTGAACTGCTAGACCTTGTTGAAGTTAACTACCAGATAGATAGGATTAAAATATTACAATACAAGCCATTTAGCCTGTATGATTTTCGTCTTTCTGGCTCTCCTCGAATTTGCCATTGTCAATTCGATCATGAGAAAATCCGATAAATATGATCAAATCGCGAAGAAAATTGCAGTCGCAAGAGGTGAATTGGTTTTGTAAACTTTTTAATCACCTATTCTAGAGCCTGAAAAGAAAGAAGAATCGAGAAAGAATGAAGGTGATTCTAGAGTTGAAATTTTCCCTTATGTCATTGAAAATTTGCCCTTTCATCAAAAAATTCAACAAAAAAAAAACTGAAATTTAGACACAATGCCTGTGGGAGGAAATGATTGGAATCGAAAAACGATTCGGGACTATTTGAGGAAAAACTCGAGAGATAGAAAATTGAATCCGCAAAACCAGAAAAATGGTAATCTAATTGTAAGAAAAATCTACCGTAAATACTGTAATAGTACCCCAGTCCCATAATGACGGTGCAGAGTGTTGCGTAGGCTAGCTTTAAACGACTTTTTCTCAACACTGGTTTATGCTACAATGTTCGCTTAGGTATCAAAAAATAGCTGAAATTCAGGGCTATTTTTTGATACCAAAGACGAATTTTTTTGAAAGTACGGGTGCTTTGAAAAAAATGAAATACTAAAAAGACTTTTGCGATTACGCGACTGTACGAGGGGTGTGGGGTACTATTACAGTATTTACGGTAGCTTGTTCCAAAGGAAAATTCCGTTTCCAGGTTTCAAGATAAGGCAAAAGCAAGCCTGTCTATAAGCTAAGTTCTGTTTTGGCTCTTGATCTAGTCTGATTTGGCTTTGTTCTTGAATTGTCCCCCAGAGCCAGGTCTAGACCCAGTCAGGCAAAGACCCAGCCAGGTCTGGACCCAGCCAGGCAAAGACCCAGCCAGGCAAAGACCCATATTGTCATTGCCATTGTTTAACAAGATGATTTCGTTACGTTCGTAACAAGGTTACGGTAACTTTTTTTGAAAACATTAATATGACACTTAATTCCATCCAAGGCAAGTTCAAGATTCCCTTTGAAATCTAAGAACTATAAAACTTTGATACCATACTAGCTGATCACTTATTGAATAAAATGATAAATATAAAAAGCTGTATTTGTCAACATTTAAGTTTTTTAAATCTGTTTTCCAAAAAAAAGTAAAGACTTTCGCCGAGACCGGAATCGAAACCGCGAGCATAGTTTTGCAGACTAGTCCAGTATTCCCCAGGCCATCGCAGTCCTGTTTGGGTCCTCGCTTGGCGCCCCGTTATAGACGGCGTAGCAGAAATTAGCCGAAACTTTGCGGTTTTCTCAAAAACTAGCCTCCACTAGGAGAAATGAAAAATTATGTTTCTTAGAATTCGACGGGGGCTAGGTACTGCCCTGAACAGGTACTGCCCTGAACCTGAACCAGCTTTACTGTTAGTCTGACCTAAATAACGTTTCCGGTGACTAGCCTGGGTTACAGCTCTACGGTAAAATACCTCTAACGTTGACTGGGTTTTTGATTTGGGAAATGAATCATTTCAGTTGGTAGTTCATAACTTTTTGGTGATTAGCAATTGTGTGTAAATGGAAATCTAGTTCATTTCAACAGTTCACTTCTAAAGCCTTTTCCATTTGTTTCCTTTTCTAGAGTCTCCACATCGTCCTCCGTATCTCGTCGTCTACAAAGAGCCCGAAAACCAGGATGGAGCAACGGGTAAACCCTGATTTCCAATCATTTATCACAATTCTTTCACAAATTTCAAAATATTTTACTAAAATATATAGAGGAAGGTGAGAAATTTAACATTTTTAAAATGTTTTAACTTAAATTTGGACTTATGGACTGGACTTAAAAGCAAAAGCGAAAAATTTAGAGTACGATTCGGCTGAGGAAACGTTTAACGATGGTGGGAATCTAGGAAATCAAACGGATCAGATTAGAGAAGATGAGCTCGAGATTTCCGGTAAATATTTTACATCAAAATTCAAATAAGATTTAGAATTTAGGATTTAAGAAAATTTTCAGATGATGACACGAAAATGTGGAACAAAGCGATGCGAAAAGACAACCCGAATGGACTGATCGTGTTGCCGAGAAAGGTTTGAGTTTCGAGAAAGAAATGAAAGATCTTTTGAGAGAATCATCCGGAAGTTGAAAGCTGGCAAACCAGTTATTAATTATGAAGTTTTCAGCGCAAGAACAAGGACCCGCAGGAGCCATGCACTCAAGCATCCCGTCCGAACTCTCAACTCATCAATCGGGGAGTCGCCGAGAGCACGTATGCTGTGGTTGGTGAAAGTCTTGTCCTCCTTTTGCATTTTAATTTCACAACTTTCGCAGCAGCTAAAAACCAAAGCTTCTATTGACGGTATTAACTATTTGCAAGTATGATATTTTTCCAACGATTGGGCAGAGCGTGTAATTTTTCTTACAAACAGAAGTTGACTGGGCTCCGTTGAAGTAGGCAACGATATTCGTTAGTTCTCGATCATTGGCCAAGTGCTAGCTTGTCAAATCAACGGCTAACTTCTTGAAATGTAGAAATAACTTAACGCAATGTCTAGAGAATATAATGGTTCAAAGAGAACTTTTCAGCTTAAAGTCTACAGTATTTTTCTGACCATTCAATAGGGTTAATTTTGTGCCACATAGAGGAAAGCTCTTTTTTTTTCATCTACGCGATCTATCTAAGCGATCCATCTATCTAATTACCGTAGAAACTCTAATAAAACGGCCGCCCTATAGGAGCGTCAAGTAGTCTAAGTTTACTCTCAAACAAACAATCATATCTTGACACCAGTACGCTTGTTTCTTCAGGTTTAGATATCAAATTAAAGTAGAGAAAATGGGTGATCTTTTGAGATATAACACAGATTTCTAACATTAACCAGTGCTTGGAAAGAAATGATTGAAAATCGGCGAAAATCGGCTATTTTTTCCCATTTTTCAATCACTTTTTTCTAAGCACTGGTTAATGTTAGAAATCTGTGTTATATCTCAAAAGATCACCCATTTTCTCTACTTTAATTTAATACCAAAGCTCACAGAAACAAATGTACTGGTGTCAAGATATGATCGTTTGTTTGAGAGTAAACTTTTAGATGATGTGGCTGCGTGGTTCATAAACTAAATGTATTTGCAAATACCGAGCTTACGTACCAATTATTCAGCTATTATTCAGCTTTGTGACTGTTTCCACTCTCCACAAATTGTGTTGACAAAAGATTAACACCAAACGTTTACAGATGACTCAATCATTCTCTCGTCGTGCTTTCCATCTCGATCAAATCTGTCGTTGCATTTTCCCGGGCATTTTTCCTCATTAGCCTCTCCCTTCCAATAGTAGCACCCCTAGTGTTTCCACTCTACACAAATTGTGTTCACAAAAGATTAACACTAAAAGTTTACAGATGTCTCACTCATTCTCCCGACGTGCTTTCCATCTCGACCAAATCTGCCGTTACGTTTTCCCGGGCACTTTCCTCATTTTCAATCTCTGGTATTGGATTTATTTTCTCATTTATCACAAAAATATTCTCATCGCTGAGATGAAAGATCAATTGTAGTTGTAGTTGATTGTGATTTTTGAACACTTTAAACTTCAACTAGAAGCTCTCGAGTATCTTCGTGCAAAAAAATGTGTTCTAATCAAGAAATTAACGAAAAATCTTTTGAGATTAGATGCATTCATTGGATATATTTCTAAAATTTTAAAAATTTCTTTATAAACATTACTAGTTTCAAATATTACTACCGTAAATACTGTAATAGTACCCCAGCCCCAAAACGACGGTGCGGAGTGTTGCGTAGGCTAGCTTTGAACGAGTTTTTCTCGACACTGGTTTATGCTACAATGCGCGCTCTGCTACAATACAATGGAGTCTGTAAGAGATGCCAGCTCTAAAGCAGGTCAGAGGTCTAGGTCAGAGAGCCAACGCCAATCCAGTGTTTTTGTGGTGTGCGCCAAATTGAGCCAGGAGAAGGCTGGCTTCTGAGCAGGTATATCCAGCTAGATCTCAGTGCTTATAAGCTAAATCAGAGCTAGGGGAGAGTCAAGTTAACCTACCGTAAATACTGTAATAGTACCCCACCCCCATAACGACGGTGCGGAGTGTTGCGTAGTCTAGCTTTGAACGAGTTTTTCTCGACACTGGTTTATGCTACAATGTTCGCTTAGGTATCAAAAAATAGCCCTGAATTTCAGCTATTTTTTGATACCAAAGACGCATTTTTTGAAAGTACGGGAGCTTTGAAAAAAATGAAATACTAAAAAACTTTTGCGACTACGCGACTGTACGAGGAGGGTGGGGTACTATTACAGTTTTTACGGTATGTTCAAAGTTACTGTAAATCTCCAGTAATCAGCTAAAACAAGTCACTTTTCAAATAATGAATTGATGAATTGATGAACTCAAATGAATTTATATTCAATTTCTCTCAACGAAATACTTTTTCTTCAAATACTGTATTTTACTATAAATCTAGAGGTAATAGAATACTGTAATGAGATTGAAAATTAAAGCTTAGCGTTTTTTTAAAAATTTCATTTTAAACATTGATTCATTTTTGAAGAGATTTTGATAAACAAACTTTATAAATAACTAATGGAAATTTGAATTGATGAATCTATTAGGTTGTTCGGATATAAACAAGCGTTGCTGAACTTATTGTTTAAAACGTGTCTTTCTGTATTTAAAAGTACGTTATCTTGTGCATATTTGGAAGCTTTTTAAACGGATAATTTCTTATTTTTAAGATCTTTTTTTCTTGCTTTAGATGACCGACTTCAAATATTGGGTTGGTGAATTGAAAACAAATCTTATTATGCTTGATTCCGAAGTACTATTACGTATTAATTTTAACATCGGTGTGGTGTTGTTATTTCTGGGGCCGATTTTCTAAACCAAGCCAAATTTTAGTCAAGCTTTTTAAGTCAAATCCAATAGGTTACTTAAGGTTGAAATTCTAGGTTATGGCCAATTGGCCAAGAAAGTCATTGGTTTGGCTTGGCTTTTTGGAAAAGCCTTGGTAGTGGTGCTAACAATACACCAAAATAAGAAGTGATCTATTGGATTGGTGAATTGAAAACTGCCGGCTATTGTCATATGTGACAGTTTGAGCACTTTCTTCAAAAGAAACCCATTTTAGTGTCAATGGAAAAGTTGTAGAGAATCAAAAATCAAGCTTATATCCAAATTTTCAGAACGATTCAAAAACTGGTTTTCAAGAAATGCCAAATTTACGAATTTTCACAAAACTTGCATTTTAAGCGAAACTACTAAGTGTATCTTTTTGGAAATATGGCTATAAGCCTAGTTTTTGATTCTCTACAACTTTTCTATTGACACCAAAATGGGTTTCTTTTGAAGAAAGTGCTCAAACGGGGACATCTCCAGTCCTCGATTTTTGAGTCTCACACTTGTCTGACACACAACCCAAAATCCTACTACAAAATCCTAATCCGCAAAATGCCTGTAAAATGGGCAGAAGTCGTCAATAGTAATGGAAATTATTTGGAATGAATTCATGGTTTTATTTTGAATAAATTTTAGTTCAAAGTCCGGCAGTTTTCAACTCACCAACCCAATATATCAAGTTCGCATCTGCCTACTTTACGACTTCAAACTGGGCAAAACAGTAGCGGAATCCTATTGAGATTTGGTCAAAGCATTTGGGAATGATGTATTGTTCGAAAGCCGATGCCGAGCCTGACTCCAACGCTTTCGGAATGGTGATGAAAGTCTCGAGGATCATGAACACTCTCGTGAAGAATATCGTTGTCGACCTCAAGCGGTAGACAATGATATTTTGAGGGCTGCAATCGAACCGGATCCTTGTCAAACGACGCGTGAACTCGCTCAATAGTTTCTATATTGAAATTCTACTATTGATGAGCATCTCCACGCCATTGGAAAAATGCGATCAGATGCGGGAAATGGCTTCCTCACGAGTTAAGCAGTGCAAACGCTCGTTTATATCCGAACAATCTAATAAAAAAAGCTTTACTTTCAATTTCTAAATATAAAATCAGGTTTTTATAAGAGCTCTTCAAATTTTATCTATTTTCTAATTCAAATCCGAATCTGTTCAGAGCAAAGTATCACGAAAAAAATGAATTACAATGGACAAATTTTATCAAGTGATACTGAGAACGAAATTTGGATTATCTTTTTTTTGGGGAATAAATAAAGAAACCCTGTTGAATAGACGTGTGAAAAAAAAAGAGAAAATCTCGTTTTCCCAAGTCCCATTCATTTCACGAATAGAAAAGGATCAAGAAAACTCAGAAAAAAAAAAGAGGAATAACTCTGTTTTCATGCAAGATTTTATGTATACTCTTGTTGAAGAATTTCGACTTTAAAATTTAAACTAACTAACTAACCAATTGTTGGATTTAAAAATTTCCAATTCAACCTCATTTTCTTCTGCGCTCAATTTTCTTTCTTTCTTTCTTTCTTTCTTTCTTTTTGTGCTTGTTGAGTTTAAATATTCATTTTCAAATATTCAATTTTTCAAATATTTGAAAAAAACTTTCTTTCTTGTTTTCTTCGTTTTGTTTAAAGTTTTGGAAATAAAAATGAAAATAAAAGTGACTGGAAAAAAGCAAAATGAGGTACTTTGAGCGCGCGCACAATCGCGCGCTTTCTGGCACACCAGGCAGATAGATATGAAGAAAACGGGTTATTTACCCAAGTTTGAGTTTGGCGCCGAGACCTTTTCCTCTTTCTCGCCGAAGCCAGTTTCCTCCAAGATTTGAACCATCCAAAAGATCACCCCCATTTTCACTAGCGGAAACATGGCTCGTTGGTCTAGTGGTATGATTCTCGCTTTGGGTGCGAGAGGTCCCGGGTTCAATCCCCGGACGAGCCCAAGCTTTTGTTTTTTTGGGAAAAAAGCTTTAGTAACTTTAAGCCTTAGTAACTTTAAGCTTTAGTAACTTAAGTAGACGCTCCAAGAACGGTTTCTCGACAAATTTTTGGAACGTTTCACCAATAGGGGATGCATCAATGAACCCAAGTGTCAGATCTTAAATCTTTCATTCTTTATTTTATCTGTTTTTGTTAGGACTCGTTCTTTAATATCTTTATGAAGCTAATATCAGATTCGGCTTCTCGGCTATTTATTTGATATAGCTGTAACTCAGCGGTGATAGGCGATTGAAATAGAAAGCATCAGCCCTCGGACGGAGAGACTCGAGACGACACGTCTGTGTGTACCTTTCGAGTGTTTCGCAAGAAAAAGCGGCATCTGGCACACGGTCCGTTGACATAGCGCGACAGAGACTCCGCTCTCCGGTTTAATTACCCAAGTTTGAGGTTAGCATTAACCGCGAGACCTCCCAATAGTGTCTCGAAAAAATTTTGGAACGCGTCCCCGTTGGGGCGATGCACAAATAAACTAGGAATTTGAAATGATATGAAGCTTTGAGGTTCTATTTCATTTTATCGTGATTCATCGAGAAACGTGTCAACTTTTCGCTTCACTTTCAGTGAAACGTTGCCGGGGAACCACACGGAAATCGTCACGGGAGAATTTTCTCCACTACTCTATGGCGGAGAAAATTTTGGAAAATACGGGTTCTCCTCGTGCTGAAAATTGATCCCCAGCATTTTGTTGTTTTCAGATGAGTTAGATTCGTGAGATTTTGAGTAGTTGGCTTCTTTTTGGAGAATTTCGAAACTTCTAGCTGAAATGACAGTGTCGGAGGTGTACTTTGCGAGAGCCCACAATCGTGCGCTTTCTGGCACACCAGGCAGATAGATGATGAGAAAGCGGGCATCAAAGTCGGTTTAATTACCCAAATTTGAGGTCAGTATCCCGAGACTTTACGAAAAGTTTTTCGAGAAAATTTTGGAGAGGATTTCTCTTTTGAGAAGTCCACAAATCTCATAGTCAGCAATTCGATGGCTTTGGATCTCTTTCGAAGCTCTAATCCAAAAATGAGTGTTTACATCTGCATCTATTCCTTTCCAATTAATCTTTTTTTTTCAGCAATCTTTCATTTTTCATAATGAAACTTTTCAAAAAATCTGCAAAAACTCGTGCTTTCCCAAGAAGAAATTTTCCACATTTTCTTTCGATTCCAAGTAGGAATCGAAATTTTCAATAAAATAAAAACTCT